AAAAACAAGTACATTTGTAAAATACTGCTCAGGAGCTACAGAGGATTCAGGAAATCTCACCGTTTCAGAGACTAACAAACAGCAGAACATGCAGGAACTGTGGAAACTTACTGAGGATTGTTTTGGCACGTTGCAAGTACTGTCCTCCTCGCAGGCAGTCAGAGTTTATATCATTTAAAGAGATTCTGTGAATTGGTGATAGCAAAAACTGGTTGCTGTAATTTAAAGGAAGTATCTTCTAATTTCTGTCATTTATTTTCTAACATTTATCTGTGTTATTTTGTATCAGCGCTGTTAAACTTCTTCTTCCATGTTAGCACAGTTTTTTTTTATGGCCCCTCAGTGAAGCAGACCAGGGAACTTCTCTCACTGCAAGTGTTCCTCTCAGCCAGTGTATTCCTAGCCCAGCCTCTCCTTTTCTGATTTTCTTTTCAGGTGTGCTTGTAATGCAGTGATAGGGTCAGTTGGAGAAACCAGTGGGAGTTCCAGCTAACATATTGTGCTGAGTAATACGTGACTTGTCCTGTGCACTTAGCCATGTGAGCTGAAGTAGCTGTCAGTTCCTAATTAACAACTCAGTAGAATTTTTACAGAATAGTAGGGTAACAGATGGATTTTTTAATATATATATTTTTTAATTAGGAGTGTTGAGCTTTTATATATTCAGTTTGTGGTGAAGTTATTGAAGTATAGTTATGGCCTTGGGGCTTTTTTGATGTTTCAGTTTTGTTTATTTCAGGGGAAAAAAAATCCAAATCATATTAGTGCAAGAGTAAGATCCTGTGTGCTGTTAGAGAATTCAGAGGGATAGAATGAGTTTGTATAGCAGTGTGCTTTTAAAAGCTTACCAGTGCACTGTATCAACACACAGCTAACAATGTTCTGTGGGTAATTATTTTGAGAAAAGAACCTAAAGGCAGATTGAAAATTCCTCTGGAGACTGTGTTACTCCTGAGCTACAAATCTAGAGCTTGATTCTTGCAGTCAACTCATGAAGCTGTAACTGGTGCTGCTGTCCCCGCTGCCTGCAGTGGGTCCCACCTGGGGTGCCGGCCCATCCCTGCATGTGCCCAGTGAGAGCTGCAGGTGCCATTGGGGCAGGACTGGGCTGCCCCTGCAAGGCTGCTGCAAGGGATGAGGTGAGGAGGGCCTGAGGAGCTGCCGCTCTGCTGCCTGTGGATGCCGGGGAAGCTCCTGCTGTGCTGGGCCGGTTGTAAATTTGGGACTTGTGTGAGATGGAGGAGCAGAAGTGGCAGCCGAGGTCTGGCTGCTGCTCAGTGACAGCAGGGAGGGGGCCAGAGGCTGGCACGTTTCCCTCTGTGCTGCTGCAGCAGGGCTGGCAGGGCTGGAGCAGCACTGGTTTGGATGGTGGCTTTCTTAGGGCGCTTGAGTGGTGGGGCCCCATGGGTGCTGCTGTCTCTGTGCTTTCTTTGGTGCTGCCAGCAGGCTCCTGTCTCACCCAGCAGCTGCTCCCTGTGCGGGCTGGGCACCTGGTCTGCTCCTCATGTGGCTCTTGTTCAGATCTCCCTGCAGGACAGGGGCAGCTACCACTGTTTCCTCAGGGCAATTCCTTGCTGGCAGTGTTCAGGCAGCTGTGGATCATCTCTCATAAAGTATGGGTGAGAGTAGAAGAGTGAGTGAAAAACACAAAGGAGAAGAGTTAGTAGTGTGGAGAAACTGACACACGTTTGAATGAGCTGCAAATGCTTCTTCCTCTGGAAGAAGCTGGAAACTCAGGAACAGAGGGAGATCTTTTATCAGTCCTGGTGTGTTTTTGTCAATCCATACAGATTTAAGTTGGCGAACAAAGCTTTTTATGTTTTCAGTCTAAAAAACTCTCACAGGTCCTTTCCTTCTCAGAACTTGGATCTTAAACGTTTCTTCATTGATGACAACAGTTTCCACCGTGACCCCACCAACTCAACTTAAATTGGTCACTTTCAACCGGTTGCAGAATTTCTGTGGAAAGCTGAGGGCTGAGGGAAGTAAAACAAAAAACAACTTAAATTGGTCTATTGAAGATGTGATACTATAAAAAACTAGTAGAACTCTTGTGTTTTTAATTTTTGGGTAGTGTTTTTATGCTTAATTAAATAGTTAATTATGCTTTGATTAGGCTGTTCCTTGTTTCAGAAGAAAAATATCAGTCCTCTACCATTCTAATGCTGTAGTGCTTCTTCCTTAATGTATTCTTTGTTACACTGTTTCTGTCCCATCCTGTAGAGCTTTGTAGGTACTTGTGAAGAGAGCATGAAAATGATGAAGCAAGATAGTGATCCCAAGTCATTGCAGTGCCATCATAAGATTCTGAGTATTGTAGTTTAAAAGAGAGAGTAAGAAATTTGCAGAGGACTTTAATGCCTGATTATTAAAACTGCTTTTACAAAACAAACAAAAAAAGCCAACAACCAAACCCAACAAACTTATTCTCTTTATTTGCATTCAGGACTTGTTCTGGTTATTGAGCTTTTCACATTACTGAGCTGCTCAAAACCTTGTGACTGGGAAGAAACTTTCTTACAGAAAGAAAAAAACAAGTCACAGGGCCTCTTTAAGCAGTAGGAATTCTTGAATTTAACTTAAGAAGGTGTCATCTCTCTTAGGAAAGTGCTAGAAGGAAGGGGTTCATTTCCTTTGCCTCCATCCCCACACACATCCAAGCTAAGATGAAAGCACCAAAGTTGGAGATGCTTAAATGCTATAATTTTCTTTCATATCAAGACTGTTATTTTCAGTACGTTCTCACCAGCTTCCTGATGTGGAACCAAGGCCTGCAGGTGCCTTTGTGAGCCTTTCTAACCAGGCTGCTTGAATGATAAAAACTGGTGAAAGTTACAGTTGATCAGTAACAGGAGGATGAAATTTGTGTATAAATGTCTTGTGTGCATTGTTCATCTCCTTCGGATTCATTTCTGTTCTTTTTTTTTTGCCCAGGGGTCTAGATCCAGAAGTGATGTTGATTGCTCTCCTTAAAGACAGAGCTGTTTGATGAGGCTCTGGATTTTAGTTATCTGCTGTGCACTTGCAGATATTAAATGCAGTGGCTTACAGATCCTTGGAATTACTTACAGTGTCCTTACCGTCAGGAATGCAGCGGTTGAAATTGTCTTTGATAGAAAGATTATGTGTTAGGTGGCTATAAGTTAATAACATGCGTTGTTCAGTGGAAAACATTAATAGTTAAAAGGTATGCTTCTAAAAAAATGTACAGTCATAGCTGGGTCTAAGAAGTTAAGTGACAACAGGCATACAGCTTATCAGACTATGGCATACTCTGCCAGATCTGTCAGCTATAGGTCTGAGGGGAGTATCTCTTAACTGAGAATTTTGTAAAGCTCTGGCATTGCTTTTGTGGAAGAAAGACAAGCTTTATAAATGCATGAGAAGTTCTTTGGGGGGGTATCTTCAGTTGTGTGCCTGTTCAATTCTGCCAGCAGGGTTAATCACGATGGATCACATTCTCTGAATTTTTTTTTTCTTAATCTCTATAGAAGTAATGACTGAGTGAGTTGATCAGAATACTTACCAAGCAATCAAGAAAAGAGAAGATGAACAATATTTTCTTCCTTCTGCAGTACAGACAAAGGCAAAGCTGTAAAAGCACTTTGAGGATCAATAAATTAAGAGAAAAATGGACTGTTTAAATTAACTAGTTGAAGCTATGTCCCTCAACTGTGTCAGATGGGTTTGCAGTAGTAGTCTATCCCTTTTTTTTCTAACATCAGAAATTGTTATCCATTAGATAAATTATGTTCCCTTATATAGTATTATTGAGCTCAGGCTTGTTGCTTTCAGTATGATACAGAAATGCTAACGTGTCCAAATTTTGGTCGGTATCATTCAAAAGTGTTCTTGAACTGCAGTTTCAAAGGATGGGAGAGAACTTAATCTGCGTGAGGATGTTCAGATCTATTAAGTCTGCAGTCTGACCATACTTGAAGTGGATGCTCGCACTTTGAAGTACACAAGTGTACAGTCATAGCAGTGCTTAGCCCTGCAGTATAAATAGAAGATCCGGGTCTGTAAACCATAAAACATCTGTGAAGACTGTAGTCACCAAGTGTCTGTGTTGTCAGAAGGTCCTTGTTTTGTGTTTTTGATGATGTCTCAAGCTTAACTTCATTTAACGATGGTTATTTGCCCAAGGAGGCTGTGGATGCCCCATCCCTGGAAGCATTCAAGGCCAGGCTGGATGTGGCTCTGGGCAGCTTGGTCTGCTGGTTGGCAACCCTGCATGTAGCAGGGGGGTTGAAACTAGATGATCATTGTGGTCCTTTTCAACCCAGGCCATTCTATGATTCTGTGATTCTATGATTATTTGTGCTATAGTAAGTAAAATACATCTCTGCTCCAGCTGATACCTCTGTTTCAGCTGCACTTTGTAAGCTGGCAGAACAATATGAGAAATGCACCTCATACTTTCTGACTCCTGAGGAGGATTCTGGGGAGCACAAGGTATTATGACTCGTGTAGGGTACTATGCAAGATTTTTAAAATTAAAAAGAAAAGCAAATGAAAGCATTAAATGAAACCAAAACAAACCACAGCCATGGAGGATTGATTCCTTGTGACATGTTTGTGTGAAAATGAATCTTGATGAACTCTAATGACACACAACTCTTGCTCTGTTAAGCAATCTGAAATTTTTGCTTGGGAGGTTTTGCATTATCAGGGTGCAATCGTGACCACCTCTGCAAACAGCTACTAGAGGAGGTGTTGTATTGAACATGTTTCTGGTTAAGCACAAGTAAAATGATAAAATTAAACCATTAACTTTGTAATTGGAAGGTTCTTAGAATTGTTAATTCTCAAAGAATGAAAAGTTGTTTTTTTTTTTTAACTTTAAGGTGAAATCAGTGTTGCAGTTTTATACAGGTTGAATATTCTGTCTTTTTGTGAGCTGTATTAATTGTTTGAAAATAAGTTGAAAGCTAATTATTTCACTTTGAAGACCTTGATATGCTTTAGGATCTCTTTAACAGTATTTTATGTTTTTGTAGGTTCCTCTAAAGAAGGAGGAGCTGGAGCTGTGGATGAAGATGATTTTATTAAGGCATTTACAGATGTTCCTACTGTACAGGTAAGGTGCTGTGTATGCTAACTTTTGTTTCAGGAATATGCTATTTACAATGCTGTCTTAGCTTATTCTTATAATTTTATAGTCTTTCAACTGAGGTGCCATTACCTTTCTGTCTTTACGAGCACTGTAATTTACAGCCTCCATGAAAACTTATAATTTTTTCCAGTTGTTAATTAGCAAAACCCACCTTTTAAAATTATTTTACAAATTATAATTCCATCGTTTCAGCTGAAATCCATTATTACTTTGCTTAATCTTTTCCAAGGAGCTACTGAAAATAATTGCATGTTTCAATTTTTAATAAGAAAAACATTTCCATAATCTTAGGGAAACACAGGATTTGAAGTTTCATGGGATAAGCAACTAATAATAATATAAGCAAATAATTTTAAAGCAGGAATTACAGTTTCAAACCTGACTTTCTGAGTTCTAATGATGCTTGTCTGAAATACATGCACTCATCTTTAGCAATGCTTCAAAAAAAGAGAAAACTTACAGTGACTTATTTGAATACTAATGAACCTTTTGGATGCTGAGTTCTTGAAAGTTAAGATGTTCTCTTTTAACAGTTCCTGAAGCCAGAGACTCACACATGCTTGGTGTTTTCACATGAGCTGAGTCACCTAATATCTTTGAATATGTTTTATTTGAGCAGTTGAGGAGTGGAAGACAACCAAAAACTCAGCCAAAGTTTTAAAATACCATCAGGATTTTGTACAACTCCTTTCTCTTGATATATACTTCTGTTCTATTTTTATTTATATTTTATATATATATATATATATAATATTTATATTTATATAGTATATATTTATTTTAAGATGATAATGTGGTTCATTGTTAGATGTCATTTTATAGGCTGAAATACTGTCTTCTTTAGTGAAGAAACATGTTAACTCCGTGGTTCCTGTCTTGTTCAGCAAAAGTTTGTTTATGCTGTAAAGGTTTTGTTTCTTCTTTGCCTCTCCAGGCTGTTAAGAATTCTTTGGAGAGCAAGACCATCAATCTTTTCATATTATTTGTCCATGTGATGTTGACCAGTCATATTCCACAACACTGAAAACATGCTGCCTATAATTTGATACTTTAATGTTTACAGTCCTGAGCAGAGTTCTCTGATCACTCAAATTGCTTAATAACACTGAGAGAATAAAAGTGGAATACTTGCATGTGTGTATGTGTGAGTGAGATTTTTCTCTCTGACTCTGCTGGATGACTTGAGAAAGTTGGTCATTGCTTAACTGCAGAAGATGGAGGAGGAGAAAGACCACCTTGTCCTCACTAGTAGCCCCTTAACTGAAGTGGAGAGGTAAAGGAGAATGTGTAACTGACCCAGAATAACCTAATTTGTAATGTATGAGAATGTAAGACCTACTAGCTGGTCAAAAAAATAAATAAATAAATGCCAATTATCCTTAAGAATAATGACTTTCTGATGTCCAGTCTCAATCTCTAATCTTTCAAAAAAAGAAACACCCTGCAATCTGAGACCACATCAATTCCTGTGGAAGGGAGAAGTTTTTCCAATAGACCCTGAGAAGAGTTAGCAATGCGCCTGTTTATTCTGAAGTCAAAATCTGTTAGACAGAATGGATAGAGGACGTTGTTTCTGTGTTGCTGGGCCCGTTCCCATGTCTGTTTTCATTACACTTGTGTGGGTCTTAGTAGAGGGTTCAGTAAAAACAAGGGAGGGAAATTTATTATGGAAATACAGATCCAACTCTCAGTGAAGTTGATGAGCACCTGGATTAATCAAGTAAATTCAGAGTATTTTCTGTGTGTGTTTAATAGCTCCTAAAAACCTTCAGTGGTGATTCTGCTTTTCCAGTAAGCTATTCAAGTGACTGTGCTCATCATTAATCTTCAAGGAATATCGTATTGTTTACTCCTATCTAGTTTGTTTCTTTCTGTCTACTTAGTTATTTCTTTAATTTGTGTTTGAGCATTTAATTTTTCTGTCTTCAGTGTGGCATTTATCATTACTGCTGTGCGTGCATGTTACCCTCCAATGGATAATTGCAGCTTATAGAGAGAATAGGTTATTTTGAGATACAGTGCAATGGCTCTTTTTGCTAATGAGTTCTTTACTTACAGCACTGTGATGGACTGTGAGGACTGTGCCTCCATGTTTAGATTACAAACTGAATCATTTTACAGCTCTTTTTTCACTGTTGTTTAGCTGGAAGCGGAAAATTCAGTTGTCATGTTGATAGGAAAAATAGCCATCAATAGCTACATTCTTTTTCCAAAACGAATTTATTTGCATAAATGTCTGACATTGAGACTTGCAAAAAAAAGAAGGTATAATTGTTGTCTGCACTCAACATTTCACAAAAGTATAAAGCATAATTAATCAAAGGCAGGAAAAAAGATGAAAAACATAAGTTTTGTTTTGACACTATGTATGGAGAATATATTTGGGATTTTTAGTGGAAAAATTTTAATTTCATTATGATTAAAGTTATGCCGCTTACGAAATTGCTCATTAAAAAGCCAATTTGAATAGCAATTTGAATTTGCTTAAACCCAATTCTGTTTTTGCTGGGTAATCAAAATATTAAATTCTTTGCCTAGGCATGCAGATAGGGCTAACTTAAACTCATTGTACATGTTGCTTCTGCCCTTGTCTGTTGCCCAGCAATTATAATCCCGTGGTATTAAATACAGCTCATGGACTGAGATCCCTCATCAGCTGAGAACAGAAATTGGCCTGTTTTTGAGGGCCCTCTCAGTGAGACAGTTTTATCAGAACCTCAGACTGAGCTTAATGTATACACCAAAGAGGTCCTAGTTAGCTGCTGCTAAAAGGTTGATCATGCTCCCCTTGTGGTTGCATTTTGTTTTTGGGATAAGTTGGCATTGGCTGCTAGATTGACATATTCTTCTGTATGTTAAAGCCCTGAATTAGGAACAAGACATAGCAAGGTGGGTGGTGGTACAGAGGGAACCTGAGGAGCTAAGATTCCTACCCTGCTTATCAAACTATTCAAATACACAGGTGTCGTAAAGCATGGATATTTTCCACATCCTAAGTATTGCAGCATGAAATACAGAGGTCTTCATTTCTGTGTTCTGTTGCCAAAGCATAGGAGAAAAGGTAGAAATTAGTCTACTGCAGGTACTGTAACTTCAATTAATTCAGTCTACTCAGGACATTGGAAAGCTGGTCATTTGAAGTTGCGCAGGAAAATAAACTATTTTATGAAAAATATGGATATGGATTTGGCTTGACTGTAAAACAGAAGAGGGAGGCGTATCTAAATCTTCAGAATAAAATGAAAGATGTGTGTTCAAGGGACCAGAGTAAAAGTGCATGCAAAGCAAGGTGTTCCTAACCACTGGTCCTCGTTTCCCCTACGCACTCTGTGCTCTTGAACATACAAAAGTAATACCTTGTATTTAAGCAGGTAATTAGTGAGAATCAGTTACTAGTGTTGAGTTTCTACATAAGTTCTAATGCTCTCTTCCACTTCATAGGACATAGGTCTTCTGGAAGTCCTGCAGAATATCTGGCAGCCCCATGTAGTTGTCTCATTTGGTACCAGATGCCTGTGTCTGGGCAACTGAATGTAGTTCAGTATGTTTATGTAAACAACTTTGAATGCAAGAAACTGGAAGTCCTTAGCTTAAAATATGTTGCTGAAAAAATTCTGGCCAGAGCAGTTTTCAATAATCTGCTTCATATCTCCTTCATATTATACTGAAGCTGGGGAAAAAAACAAAAAAATCCTTAAATTCAGTGAAAGCAGAAAAGAGTATGCCATATGAACTGTCTCCACTTATATTCTCATACTTAAATCTGATAAAAATATATTATGTGTATTAACATGACATCTCTCTCTCTTTCTCTCTCACAGTATGTGTATATATATATATTCTCTTATATATATATGTATATATATATATATATATATACACACACAAAATGGCTTTTTACAACTTTTTTATTTTGATGTTGACTAGCAGCCCAGTTAAGGCTTTGTAGTGAGCATGATTCCCTGTTCCAAGAGGGACGTGTGATCAGGTGGTTAATTACCATTTGTGTCAGTGGATATGAGAATGAAATTGAAGTGCAACAGATTATTTAAAATCTCCACTCATAGTGAACTGTAATCTGAAAAAAAAAAGGCAAAAAAAGATGAGATTCTTATGGAAGATGAATTTCTAATGAAAGGTGAAATCTTGAGGAAAATATTGATTCTTCTTTTCTGTTAGTGAGCATTCGCTGCTTAGTGTTATCCTCAATATTTGCTTTAAGTTGCTTTTAATACCACTGGCATAGTTCTCTGGTGTTATATAAGAAGGGCAAGATTTTCAGAATTATAATGGAATTTTAAGTTGTCTTCATCTAGCTTCGTTCATCATGTTAACTGGGACTTTTTCTGTTTTTAATATTCCAGATCTATTCTAGTCGAGAACTTGAAGAAACACTGAACAAAATCAGGGAAATCCTCTCAGATGACAAACATGATTGGGATCAACGAACCAATGCGGTAAACTTTGTCTGATTTCAAGTGGGGGGTGTTGTATTTTCTAATATATGGGTGACTGCATATTTTAAAATGCTTTTCTTAGTGATAACACAATACTCAAAGGCAATTTTATTTTCATTTTAAAACCACGAGCTTCCATGTATCAAATAATTTCAGATTAACCTTTGAACAAGTGTTTTTTAAAGGGCTGAAGTATATTTTTGTTGACATTTGAGTGGAAGCCTTTCTAAAAGCCCTCATAATGTTTTTTTGTTTTTTTCATTTCTTCAAAATTACATACTCTGCAGGTAAACTGCTAGTATTGGTATCCCTTGTATGGCTATAGTAACATTTACTTCTGAAATTAAAATGTCTGCATATATGTGGCAGCTATATTCTTCATCTAGTTTGTGGTATCCTAGTACATATTCAGAAATGGGTACGTGAGCATAGTTGTGTATTTGTGTATTTGTAGACTGAGATCTAAGACTTTCTAGCTCTAGAATTTTTTAATAATTTTTTAAACTATTTTTAAGTTACTAACATATACTTGAAAATACGATTTGCTTTAAGTTCCTTATTGTTGATTAACGTAATGTTCCTCTTTTGTGGAATTAGACTTTGCTGGAGACAGACACACTTCTCATACACTTAAACATTTTCACACACAGTTGTCTCAAGAGCTACCTTTAACTTTGAAACTGGAGACGTACACATGTACATTTTTACAATAATTGGATGCTTCTAAAAATTAGTATTATTTTTTAAAGAGAATATGTATTAGCAGTGTACTAAACTAAATGCTTTGCATTTTTTAGCTCAAGAAAGTTCGGTCGTTGCTTGTTGCTGGAGCTGCACAGTATGATGGATTTTTCCAGCACCTACGGTTGTTGGACGGTGCGTTTAAGCTGTCAGCCAAGGATCTCAGATCCCAGGTGGTTAGAGAAGCTTGTATTACTGTAGCGTAAGTATAGCTTTACATTTGTTTGTGTACATTGCTAGATTTTAGTGTCATAGAGTCGCAAAGTTGGAAAGGACCTACAAGATCATCTGGTCCAACCGTCCTCCCATTGCCATTGCTACCACAAGCCTCTAAAACCATATCTCATAGCTCCTCATCCAGACAATGTGGATTTGACTTCAAAGTGCTTTACCAGTGTTGGAGGAAAGATCGTCTTGCTGGGCTGCTGTACACTGTTATTGATAAAGTGTCAAGATCTGAAGCTATAGGGATAATGTAAAAGAAACATTTCAGAGTAATTTGTTCTTTTAGGTGATAAATATAGTCAATAATCCTTGTAACCATTGTATGTGAAGAGGAAGTTACCATCACTAGACTGGGTACTTAGTACAAACTGCAGCAAGTTCTGCTGTAATGTCAAGGGTTAGTCTTAAAAGCACTTAAGTTTGAGTGTTTGGCATAGAACTTTACTGTGACAATAAAAGTGAGCTGCAGCGTGCTTTGTGCCCTTCCACTTGACTTGAATTGTCTGAGATGCGATTAAAAAGGGAAAACTCAAGTGAAAGCTTAAATAGAACTTCATACATTTTGATGAGGCAATAATCTTTAATTTTCATGACAGTCTTAAGAACCCTGACTAACAGAATTAAGACCTTTGCCCTCATTATTTTGGGGTATAATATAAGCTGGGGCGGGGGGGAAGACCTATGTTTACAGCAGGGCAGTTTTTCCTACTGCCATCTTTTCTATGGCTTTTTTTCCCCTTTGTAAAGGCATTAATGTACCCACTGGTATGCAGTGGCTGTGTATGTCCCAGAATACAACCAATTCACCCTTGCTCTTTTGACCTTATAGAACAGACCACAGAATGCTGCTGGAACATACAGTGTTCCTTGCCAGGGAAATTCAGTGTTTGAGAAAATAATTGTTTCCTAGTGTGAAGTCAGTAGTATCATAAGCATACTGTGTCATGTCCTCATCCAGACCTAAAAGTTAGAAATTTTTCATGATCCCTGAAACAACGATGTACTTGTTGTCACTTCCAGATTCTTTTTATATATACAGTCTGCCTGCACGGAAGCATTTGTTGTCACCACTGGACAATGATGTTACTTTGTGCTGTATGTGTTACCATATTTGTTAGTATTGAAACTATAATGTTGAAAAAATGAAGGAGTACATTTTTATGGATAGCTTACTGTGATGAACTCGGTTTTGCCAACGTTTTGATGAGAATATTAGCTTTTCAGATTGTGGTATTTGTTTTTCATTATGAAATAAAGTTACATTGTTAAACCTTCTAATGTGTCTGCTAAGTAATAGAAATGTTCTGCAAATCCTACGTTTCCAATGAGGCAAAGACTTGGAAATAATGAAAATGAGAAATTCTACTGTTTAATGTTAAAACAACAAAATTCATTGTACATGTTACGTAACGAAGAAATTAATTTTAACTAATCAACTCCATTTCTTTTTCCTATATAGCCATCTTTCAACTGTTTTGGGAAACAAGTTTGATCATGGCGCTGAAGCTATTGTGCCTACTCTTTTTAATCTGGTTCCCAACAGCGCCAAAGTGATGGCAACTTCTGGGTGTGCAGCCATTAGATTCATTATTCGGGTAGGTTTTCCACTCATCTGTGTTTGCTAGAAATAGATAGCTGCTCTTAGTAGAGATAGGACCAAATTGGAAACATTACAACTGTCTAGTAATTTTTTAAAGACTCTTTAACACTGGATAAGTAGTTTTTCTTCTGAGAAGACAAGTATTATTTGTTGGTGTTGTAAAACAACGTTATCATGGTAAAGGTATTATCAGTATGAAAAGCAAGTCTGTTTTCATGGTTTTTACAGTCTTAATTATATTAAAAAAAAAAGGCAATTTCAGAAGTTATCTGACCTTTTGCAAAAGACAAAGTAAGCTACAGTCAACAAGCTTATAACAGATTATTGGATAAAATTCTTTTTGCAAGAGAATTATTATTTATAACACATCTAGTATCAATACATATAAAATATATCTTCACATGTATGTATTATATATGTAAATACTAAATAAATATTTACTTGTTTATTCCATGGAGTTCGTAATAGAATGTTGGAGAGCTCAGACAAGTATAGATAAGTTCAGAAGGCACAAGTTTATTGGAGAAGAGTGCCACAGAGATTTGTAATCCTTGGGTTTGAGAACTTTCTATGCTTTTGATTCCTTAAAGCTGTAACACATAGAGGAGAATATTGTATGCTAGCTTTGTTTTTTTTTATTGTCTGTTCCTTAAGTGTCTACTAACAACCTGTGTCTGAGCCAACAGACTGAACTGGACTTCTGGAACTTGTACTGCCATATTTATGTTTTGTTTAGGAGTGGGAGGTTGCTTGTAGTTTCTAATTTCTAGTTAAATGCTGCGTTGTTATTTATGCAAGTCCCTTAGTTCTGTTTGATGTCATCAGTGTAACAGTGTCACAGTTGTAGTTTTCTGAAGTTTTAGGAACTTAAGCGTTTTGATCACTCGCACATTCTGTTGCTGTGCTCATCATGTTTTGGAATCTGAAGTTATCATTGTCTGACCATGCCTCTAAGAAGGTATACTTGAGAGTTTCTGCATCACCTTTACATCAGCACTTGGGCTGAAAAGTATCAGTATTTCCCTCCCAGAGTTTTACAGTGCATTCTGAGATGACTGATGGCATAGAGTTAAGAGAGAGGAGGAAGGAATACACCCTTACATAGTATGACTACAGTTCTCTCTGAGAGAAGAATATAATTCGTGGTCACGTTAGATGAGTTCAGACATGTAGGAAAATAACCCTGTCTTCTTACTTATGGTGGCAAATCAGTCACTAGAAAAGCAACACAAAATTAAAAAATCACTAAATTATTTTAAATTGGTTCTGTTGATTCGGTTGAAGATGAATCTGTGCATCAGCTACAGCTACCCTGATTTTGTAAAGCTTCTATTATCTTTAGTTATCCTTTAACATACAGGGTTAGGAACATGGAAGCAGGAACATCCTACCCATTCTGTTCAAATCCTCCATAAATAAATTGCATATGCTGGGTGTGTTGATAGTCAGAAAATTCAGATCTCAGTGTTAAAATGGAAGAAATAAATATCAGAGTTGAGTGAAATGCAGTCCTCCTGTCTACAGACCTCTCCCCCTTGAATTATGCGAGGTGAAGAAAACTTTGTGATCAGTATTAGATCCTAAGCCATTATGACTGATGCGTGTTGAAAAACTCATACCAGAAATCACTGACTGCCAGTTCACATCTTTGTGCTTTTTAGCTGAATAAAAGCAAGCCTGAGCCTTTGAGTCCTTTGTCAAACATATTCCAGAAATTACAGAGTTGATATCTCTGCAGATTTGGAGCATGGAAATTTCATACATGAAACCATTTTTTTTTTTCTCCCAGTATTGCTTGTTATTCTCTTGTAGCAGTCACGTGCCACTTAAAACTATGGAAACATAAACAAAACACCAAAAAACAGTAGGAACAATTGCAGCTGCTAGGCCTTTGTGGGTTTTTGGACTCATTCCCTGCTAATTCTGAAGTTGGCAGTACTGTGAGAGCTGATAATTCTTTGTCGGCTCTTTTGATTTCTGTGTTTATATCCTGTAACAATAAAGTAAGGAGAAAAGAGTGATACGTGAGATGCTAGCAGTTTTTCAGAGCTGTAGCTTTGAAGCAGGTTCTATAGACTTAAACTCTGGCAATATAAGGGAAGCTGATATACGAGTTATCTGATGTATTTATTCAAGAAAGGAATAAAGAAATTAACAGAAAGTGCATTTGTTTAATCACATTACTTGGAATTAAAGCGGCACTGCTTTATGTCTAAAATAAAATGAGCTAAAGTAAGGCTCTTTTAATTCTGGATTAAATTATCGCATCTGGATTTAAGGTAGCTTATCTTAAGCACTTCAAGTGATAGTTCGAGGAGTCCCTTTTTCCATGAGAATGTTAGATGTTTTCATTTAGATTTCATATGTAAGTTTGTTTATATTGTGTGTCATACCTTTATTGTTATATTGACATATTTTGCATTAAAAAAAAATTGGATGTTTTTAATGTTAACTGTATTGATGGAACCTTAAAAGAGAGCCCATAGTTTCAGGTTTCTTTTTGCTCCATAACTCTGACTATAAGACTGCTGTGCCTTTAGTTTTCCTTCAGGAAAAACAAATGAACAAAAAAAAACCTGTTTAGAACTTTTCTGAGGAGAAAGTTGCATTTGAGCCTTCAGACATGACTTTACACTGCTAAACACTGCACATCGTGGTGTGGTTGTTGACTCTTGTTGGAAGCACATTTTGCTTGATCTTATGAGAATGAAAAAAAGCTTAATAAATGCACGTGCTAGCAGTAGTCTCCTATACGTAGCTTCACTAATAGTCATAAGAGGCCAATTGTAATTTGTACTGTTTCTAGTTCTACTTGAGTTCGTTGTTACTGTATAAATTCAGGAATACTTTTGTCGTTAACTACTTTGTTTACTTTTTTCAGCATACCCACGTGCCCCGACTCATACCTTTAATAACAAGCAACTGTACCTCAAAATCGGTTGCCGTTAGAAGGTATGTTACAATATACTCAAATAGCAAATTATTGAGGTTGTTGCTTTCTAAATATAATAATTGTTTGCTGAAAGTAAAAAGCTTTAAAAATGTTTAGCCGTCAGCTCTCAATACAAGGAACTGTGTGTTCCAGTAAGCAACAGTAATGAATTTAAGCAAAGTTGGACATTTTTAAGGAATAGTATTTTCTGACATAATCAGGGATGTGCACTGTATCCTTCTGCAGAATTTAAAGTATTCTTAACACTAGTAGGAAAAAGCACCTTTTAGTTTAGAATCAAAAACGGGGAAAAAAGTTTTAAGTTGTATCTCTGGTGCTTAGGCTAACAAGAACAAACAGACCAGATACTGAGAGGCATTGGGAGATTGTAAGTTAGGTATGCATGTCTTTGCTAAGAACCAGCCTGAATTATTAACTGCAATTAAAGCTAGTCCTGACAGACCTAGGGAGGTTAGCTCTTGCAGGAGCACTGCATTATACTGCTGCCTACTGCATGTGGAGGACTTTGTACGTGGAACTAGGCTGTCTGTGCCCCAATTCATAAGCATACCACTGCACTGGGCTGTGGGGTTCAGGTAGAGGTATGACATGGTGGATCAATCTGTTGCCATCTTTAAATGCTGTTGTGCACCTTTAGCATGTTTTTTCAAAAAAATGATACTTCAATACTTGATGGGGCTTTTGATGACTCTGGTTGCTTCTGATAGTCTGTCATTCTTTGCACAAAATCTCTCAAAAGCAGTTTATGTTGTTTCTGGATCCACAGTAACCATGAGTGCAATATAATTATATATTTACCAGAAATAACTGAGCATCTACACTGTTTACTCTTTTTAAGCTGCATTTTCATCCAAAGCAACTACTATTTCAACCCAAATTTTACTAACATGTTAAAACTTGCTGTTTTGCTTTAAAACACTGGGCAGGCTTCAGCGTTTCCATTTATTTCAGCTTTGTCAAGGAAAATGGTTTCAGTTCATAATCTGGTGCACATCAGTGAAGGCAGCCAGAATTGTATTTCATACTGACTTACTGCCTTCATAAAGAAAAACTGAATTAGTTACAGTAATGAGAAGAATTTATAATCCTTTCAGGACTGCTTTTTTTTTTTTCCCATGTTTTATAAGTGTCCAAATTATTTGGCCAGAAGAAAAATGATATAAAACAGGTCTAACGTGAAAAATATCCAGGAAATATAAGAGTTCTATACCATAGAGTCTACTACCTTTCAAAGTCTCAGTTATCAGATTAGGAAGGTATATAACGCCTTCCTAATCTGTTCCAGTTTGATTTGTTCACCAGGATCTAGTTTCAAACATACTTCAGAATATGCATTTGCTAACATGTGTTTTTGCTGTGTTGTCAGGTATTCTGAATTATAATAAATACAGTTAAATAACTTATTACATTCAGTGCCAGAAAATACTGAGGAGTACTTTCTGTGTGTATGTCCCCATATTAATGGTGTCATGGTATCATGTTTTCCTTTATGGGACATACTTTGTAAAGACATTGTGAAAGGATGGGAATTGTTTTTGGGACAGAAAAACAATGCTGAATGAACATCATGGTGTAACTTAATAGTTGAGTTTTTAAAGTATTGATGTATTACTTTTTAATATTAAGATGTTACAGTTTGTGCAGATTTTGAATTAGTGATGTGTCTTGTTTTTAGAGGCTAATAAAAGTAACAGCATTGTATAATAACATGATTTGTACTAAAGATGTTTAAATTTCTGAAGTTTAAAGTTTTGTTGACAGTTAAACACGCTTTTATATTAAGTATTTTTTCCCTCACTATGAAAATACTGAAGTTTCTGTGTATACTACAAGCACATTGGAGAAATGAGTATTAATTAAAATGTTTTATTCTGTCTCCTTAGGCGCTCCTTTGAATTTTTAGACCTGTTATTACAAGAGTGGCAAACACATTCTTTGGAAAGGTATGGGCCTGTACATTTTTTCCCCAATAATAAACTACTAATGGATATTAATACAGAAGTGTTTTAATTGAATCCTTGAATTGATTATGTTATTGAATGTTTGTCAGCCTTTCTAGTACAGCATGTCACGTGGCTTGTTTAGATACCAAAGGACTAGGAAATCTGTACGCTTCCACCTTCTGCCTCTTCTCCTTATCTTCTCCCTCTCTTCCTATATTGCACATGAGAAATTGCTCTTCATCTGAAAAAGTTAGTGAATCCTTTTCTTCCTATCAACAGCATCCCAGATTTTTCTTTCTCATCCTGTCCTGGAGGATAAGGAGGAGAGGAGCCTGAGGACTCAACCAGCTTCTCCGGCTCAGAAACAGAAGACAGTTCTGATTCAGGCATCTCAATTTTAATTTTTCATGTCTCAATTTTACCAAAGCTCTCATGCAGAAGCATTTCTGCAATGAGACAGTTTTTGTCCTGCTGATTCTGCTGGGTGGTGCTCAAACTTCACTGTGATGCCCATGTCATCACAGTGATACTGCTGTGTTGTGCTCAAGGCCTGGTTGGCTTGAGCAGCCAGAGCAGATGTCACTGACCAGAACTTATTGGTCCTGCATAAAGCAAGAGATGTTTGAACTGGAGTCAAGTAGCAAAGAAAGTAGCAATTTCTTCCTAGTTGGTCACCATATGTTGCAAATGCTCTGTGATTTTAGTAGTGCAGCTTCCGCAAGGCATTAGCTATGTGTCTGGTGATGCTCTTCAGTATCAGTAATCTCCCAGAGGCTGCCCTAAATGACATTAAGTGCATTTTGCTGATGACATAAACAGGAGATATGCAACCCCTGTTTGGTTCCTTTGCTTTTAGTGGTTATTCTAGAAATGTAGAAAGCAAGCTAACAAAATCAGTGATGTACTTTAGGCCTTTTAAATCACACCCCTCTCTACAGGATCAGGTGCTTTATCTGTCAAAGAAAGGCTTGGTCTGGAGGTTGTGTCTGGAAGCAGGACTCAAGTGTATGCTGAGTTTGAGGGTGCCACTAAATTGGAGGAGCTGTTGACTCCCTTAAAGGCAGACAGATCTTAGAATCATAGAATCACAAAAGTTGGAAAAGACCTCCAGGATCATCTAGTCCAACAGTCCAACTGTCTCCATTACTTTCCCACTAAACCATGTCCCTTAGTACCACATCTAAACATCTTGGACATCTTGACAGATGTGATGGCTGAGCAATCACCAAAGGCGTGAAGTTGAACAAAAGCAAGTGCTAAATTCTGCTCTTGGGGTCGGGCAGCCCAGGACATGTGTACAAACTTGAGGACAAGGTGCAGAAGAGCTGCCCCACAGAAAGGGATCTGGGGGTTCTGGCTGATGGCAAGAATATGAGACACCATTCTGCCATGACAGCCCCAAGGGCCAGCAGTACCCAGAGGTGGTGCATCAGGCCCACACTGCCAGCTGGGAGAGGGAAGGGGCTGTCCTGCTGTGCTCTGTGCTGTGCAGCCTCACCTCCAGCACTGGACATAAAGGACATAAAAATGTTCGAGAGCTTCCAAAGGATGGCTGTGAAGATGGGGATGGGTCTGGAGGGGCAGGTGTATGAGGAACAGTTGTGATCCCTTGGTTTGCTCAGCCCAGAGCAGAGGAGCTGAGGGGAGGCCCGATGGCGGCTGCAGCTCCTCACAGGGAGCAGAGGGGCAGCGCTGAGCTCTGCTCTGTGTGACAGCCACAGGGCTGAGGGAACGGCATGGAGCTGTGTCAGGGGAGGGGTGGGTTGGGGTTAGGGACAGGGTCTGCAGCAGGTGATGAGCATGGAAGAGGCTGCCCAAGGCAGTGTTCAGTGGCACTGAGTTGGAATTGGTGATTCCTGTGGGTGCCTTCCAACATGGTATATTCTTTGGGTCTTCCAGAGACTTTTTGATTGAAGGAAGTGAACTGTTGAAATATCTCTGTATTTACACATAGTCAGCATTTCAAAGGCTGGTTAAAGAAAACAAGAAGTGTGTTTTCATTTGTTTTGTTTTGTTTTTAAAAAAACTGCATTTGGTTGCCTTTGCTGTAGCCTTTGCTTTTTTAGAAAACATAGTTTCTACCTTCAGGAAAGGAAATAGCTGGGAAGCCTACTTAAGCCTCTACAGCAGGTGCAGTTATAGCATCAGTATGCTTAAGCATTTGTTTACTTCATACCTTAGAACTTCTCCCTCTGCTTTCTTTTTTTTTTTTTTTTACTTTATTATATTTTAACTTCCCCTCTTTCATCCATTTTTCCTTGTTACTGCAGACACCACATAATTTGTTACATATCAGTCATTTTTATCTCCCACTCTTTTGCATGACATCTGATTTTGAAGATCAGGTGTGGTTATATAAGACCTTGCAGTGACAGCCTTAAATTAAACTTTACTTACTTAACTTAAACTTTACTACTTACTTTAGAATTGAATTTGGAGGAGCAAAATAATGTGAGGAATGTTTGTCTTCTAGGCATGCAGCTGTCTTAGTTGAAACGATCAAGAAGGGCATTCATGATGCTGATGCAGAAGCAAGAGTGGAGGCAAGGAAGTAAGTTTGTACTACTGTTTGCTCTGAAAATGTGTAGATTTTACATGAGCGGTTGAAGGGTGACAGTACGTAATGTGTTAGCCACAGAAAAGGGCATAGGTTAGATTGAAAAGTTACATGTCTGTTCTCAGAGTCTTGAACTAACATCTGATTTCTATTGTAAGAAAAATATTCTAAAGATAGAGGGAATTGCTACCTTCTTAAGGTATTTGCAGATTCTCGTGAAACAGGAGAAAGAATGTTTGATATTGCTGTATAATCATTCTTATTTTTTTTCCTGAATGAAGAAGTTATCAGATTTTTTTTTCAGCATTTTCATTACTTTAGGCCAGAGTAGAATTACTATTCCTCACCCTTAGAATCAGTAAGTGAGTGGAGAATTTCAGAGGACAGAGAGACTCAGTTATTTTTGAGAAGGTGTCTTAGGTTTACCAATTTAATTGGTTTCTTAATGAGCTGGTGAGTTTCTTATACTTTGTCTTTTCAATTCATGCTCCTTTTGCTCTCATCCCTTGTAATCTTTAACATCCTGACTATACTTTGAAGAAAATAAAGAACAGTTACAGTTGGTTGTTTTCTTTTTTTACAGGGCTTATTTGGGTCTTAGAAATCACTTTCCTAGTGAAGCAGAGACTCTGTACAATTCCCTTGAGCCACCTTATCAAAGAAGCCTCCAGACGTACTTGAAGAATTCTGGCAGTATAGCATCTCTCCCTCAGTCAGACAGGTCATCTTCTAGCTCACAGGAGAGCCTCAAGTAAGGGTCACTTACCTACTTCTCAGTCTAAACAAATATTATTTTTTACAGAAATGTTATGCAGATATAATTAATTACTCCTCTTTAAATTAAACTGTATTGCTTACCTGAAAATTAAAAATGGTGTGAAAACATGCTGTTAATGACTTGCCAGTAATGTTAAAAACTAAGTTATATACAAATTAAAATTTAAAAATACTCTTAAATTACTCTTAATTAGTGTTACTTCTTGTACTGCAGGAAGTTTGTGCTGCATGTAAGTTTGCAGATATTTGAACTTAAATATTACAGAAAGGAAGGAGTAGAACAATAAATAGAAGTAGTTACGATGCAAGAAATGCATTTTTAATTGAGTTTTGAGTAATTTTGTATTTGGATAGATGTTATTTTCCTTGTGTTACACAAAACCGAGTTTTTAGCTTCTAGTATTGATAACAAGTTCTCCCTGTGTTTACTACCCTAGGAAATAGGGACATGGTATTACTTTGTCTAATTCTCCATGATTTTTGACTTCGCTGTACTTACAGATCTCCTAGATCATTGATTAAAAAAATAATAGCAAAGGAGATTATGGGATGAAAAAAATATGATGACCTGTCCCTACAAAACAACAAACAAGCTCTATTTGAAACTGCTTAAATGAAATGGCATTTGCAGTAGATTGTGTAAGTGATGAAATTATAACAGTTGTCTAGGACTTTTTGGAGCTCAATTTAAGGTCAGTTTAACCCAGGACTTGCAACAAAATGCTTGTTGTTGATAGTTAGCTGCAGATACATAATTCTCTGTGAGAAATTACCTAATAATTCTGACATCTGCATTGATGATTGAGTGCCTGAGCAAGTAATTCAGGTAAATACACAGTACTATGCACCTTCTCTCAGCCTTGCCTTTTTTGTATTAAAAATACAAAGGCTTCCCCTCTTTCATCCATTTTTCCTTGTTACTGCAGACACCACATAATTTGTTACATATCAGTCATTTTTATCTCCCACTCTTTTTGCATGACAGCTGATTTTGACGATCAGCTCTGTGGTTAAATAAGACCTTGCAATGGCAGCCTTAAGTATTTCTGTAACTTGAACTTTGATAATACAAAGGAGAAATGCTCTGTGATGAAGATGTGATTTCATAAAATATAAAAGATGCTCTAATAAAAACAATTGCGTTTTCAGTCTGTATTAAATGTTTTTCTCCAAAAATATCCAGAGAAAGTAGAAGGGGAGAGGAAGAAAAAATATAAATAACCCTTTTTTTCCTCTCATTTCACCATGTATTAATTGCCTTTTGGATCTGATACATGGGATGTTTTATTTATAAAAGCCCTTACTTCATGGATTTATTGGATTTTGTCTTTCAGCCGTCCTCTATCTTCTAAATGGTCTGCAGCCAGCCCAGCCAGCTTTGCAGGCAGAGGTAAGCTAGTGCTTTCTTGTGCACAGTATTTATTCTTTGAAATTCTTTGAATTAAAAGATTTAAATTGAACTTAAAATTTTATTTTGTTATGTATTTACCCTGTTTCAGAATTGAATAATGTTATGTCTCTGCAAACTGCACCTACTGCTATGTTTCCCTCTTACTCAGCTTGGATTTTACATATTTCCAGTTGCAAGCAAAAGACGATTTGTTATGTATTGGAATTGTTCTTTGGTTGTTTATCTTGGAGTTTTGTCATGGGACAGTCATTCTCAAAGAAGCAGTGCGTTGTTCTGTTGTCTATGTGTGATAATTGGGCTTATGGTGTTTGCAAGTGAAAGATTCCTTGTAGCTTTCATCTGTTCCAAAGTAGCTGCTGCTGTGTATGTGAGAGAAAACAAATAAAGCAGAATTCAAACAGTTTGATTTTGTCACCAGTTTTCAGAGTTGAATCTCTTCTTTCTCCTTTCACGTAATCTCTTTGTAACTCTTTCCAAAGAAATCACTTGAACTCCCTTTTACAAGCCTCTTGTAATTAATTGAGGGTGCTTGTTTGGTTGGTATTGAAACTGTGAAGGAAGAGTCAATGAAAATTAACTTCAGTTAATAGTTAACATTTAGAGGAAATGGATTTAAAAAATATTTTACAGAAGATGAGGCCAAAACAAATTGAAAGTATTCAGTCAGCTTGCCCAAAGCATCACCTCAGCTGAATCATGGAAATACTATTTTCTCTCCATATCACGAAGGGTGCTGTGAATTTCATTATGTTTTGAAGCATTCAGTGATGTAACAAACCCCACAAACATTCCTAATCATGCAGTTTGTAGAAGATTGGGAGCACATAGCATTAAATGGTAACATTTCATATTGAATGGCAATAAATAATACTGTAACATGAACTGTTCTTTATCTGAATTTCATGACAATGTGTCCAACATTATTTAATGTCCTTATAATACTGCATTTATATTAACTTTATTTGTGTGACATACATTTTTTTTTGCAGGTTTGCTGCAGCAGTAGAAAACATTAACCTTGCCAATATCATTAATTCTATTCATTGCTAACAATTTGTTGTTGTTGTTACTAGTTTCAGGCAGCAGCAAGAGTGTTCCAAGCCCAGGAACTCTGCAAAGGTCTCGCAGTGACATTGATGTTAATGCTGCTGCAGGGGCAAAGGCCCGCCATGCTTCTGGACAGACAGCTGGAGCTGGGCGCTTGTCAGCAGCTGGTCTGCCGCCAGGATCTTATGCTTCACTAGGTGAGGGAAACATCTTTATTATACTGGGAAATTATTTCTGAGGCTTTTCTTCAAAGAGTTACGGGAAGACAAGCCTACTTTTGAAAAACTCTCATTGGCATTTTTGCTGGAGTGTTGTAGAAGAGTACATTTTCTCATGTAAGTTACCAACTTTGCTAGATGTTTTATTTTTTTTCTGCTAGAAGAATACTATAAAGAATATATTCATACTATACTCTTTAAACATCTTAATCTGGTATTACATTGTGTATTGGAGGAGACGATGCCTTTACTTAACAGCAGGTGGTGATCGTGGTTTTTTGGCATCTAAAAGTAAAAAGGAAATCAGTACCAGAACTCTTGATTTCCATGTTTTTTTTTCTCAACTCTTTAGTGCTGTTGTAAAATGATCAGTTAATGAGACACCCTTGTATTAAGTAGTGGGTTCTTCATATAATACAAAGTGTTGCACAAATGTGTACAGCGGATTTCGAAGAGAGCTTCCAAAGTCCATTCATAAAACTCTGTGAAGGTATTTTTTTTCCACCTGAATGATAATCTTCCTTGTCAGGAATGCTTGCCGTTAGACATAGAGAGCTCTGCAAATTACAGGTTTGCAGAAAAACTGGTAGCGATGGTTGGTGTTAGATGGTAGAACTTCCAAGTTGAAATGTAACCATCACATAAGGAGAATAATGGAATATTAGGCATGTTTTCTTTTTAGCCCTTCTTAACGTAGGGCTGAGATTCAGTGTTCACTGCTAGTTTTTTCTTCTCAGCCTATGTTCCTGCTAGACCACCAAGGAGGCAAGTTCTAGTAGTGATATTGCCATCATGGTCACAAGACTGGCAGAGAAATTATATTAAAAAAAAAAAGAGTACTTCTTAGTTACCCTTTTAAAGCTTTTTTTAAAACAAACAAACAAACAAAAAAAACCTTTTCTTTACCTTTTCAGTTTGTGTTGTGCTTTGGGAGATGTTAGGATATAAAGATGTAAGCTATGTTATCCAAGGTTTTGATTGTGTTTTTAGTTAGGTTTAAGTGAGTTGCTTCTTTTGTTGTCAGTGCCTACTTGAAGTGGTTTTATACCACCATTGAATGCAGTGCTGCTGAAAAAGAACACTGCTTGGAGCAGGATTTTAGCATAGGAGTGTGGGCTCCCTCTACTGCCCACACTGGGAATCGGGGAAGCTGTTGGGTGTAGACTAAGGGTTAGGCTGCTCAGTTTGCTTGCTGGAGAAGATAAGCTCGTGACTTTCAGTTGAAGAATTGATACTCCCTGCATAATATCTGAAAGCCTGAAATAGGTGGGATTAATATTCTTCAAGATCAGAGTATTTTTTAGTCTGTTTTGGTGGGCAAGAGGACATACTCTGGTTCTTAGATAGAGCTGGAGATGACTCATAGGAAAATAAAAGTGATAATAAACATAGCAGTAGGAGGAGGAGAAAAATTAAGTGGAAAGCAAAGAGATAAATCTGTTGGTGTTTATTCATTGTGGAACATAGGGTTTACTTCATCATTACAAATTTAGAAATTTAGCTCTTGTTTGGAATACCAGTTTGCTTTAAGAACATCTTAAGCCATGTGTGTGATTCATGCTTAGAATTTTGGAAGCAGGAGTTAAGAAGGGCACAGAGGTTTTCAGGGAAGTAAAGAATGGTGGTTTTCTGTTGGGAAATAAAAGAGATAAAGAAATAGCATATTTTCATTGGTGTTTGTAGATGGGGAGTGGTGAATACATGGTCTGTAAGTCCATGCCAAAGTTTTTTGAGGGTTTTGAGTAGTGGGGAAGTTCTGCCTTGCTAGCGGATACAGTGACTTGTGGAAAAGAGTACAGTGAATTGAAATGGCAAGATAATTTGACAATAGTGATAGATAGAAAACTCAAATGCTGTTATAGATGGATTGTGTAAAGGTAGTGATGGTGAAGGAGGCCAAGGTATGTTAGCAGTCACACAAAAGAGTACTACTCAGTTTCATCCTGATTCATTCTCACCCTTATTGAAAGAGTAACATCTACCTTTTGATAAAATAGCTGCAAAACATAGAGCCTAAGAGAACAAGTTCATAAGCATAGTAATTAGTATTTGTCTCTGTCTCTTAGCTTATTATTATAAGAATTCTTACTTGTCTCTATATGTGTTTTTGTTGTTTTAAATTATTTGTATTCGTTAGTTTATTTTAAGAGTCTTCTAGATACAGGAGAACATTCTTTAGTTATTCTGCACATTGACTAGCTTTGGCATCCTTAATAGGTAATGGCCTATTGAGGAGACTTGAGCTGTAATTATATCTGTTGCACATTAAATATTTTAATTCAGATTGTTACTGTCAGAATAAGCACTTCCAGCTGAACTTGTGAATCTTTAATGCGTTTATACCTGAGTGGAACTTTGTCCCATTTTGCCTCTGTTTTTATTGTGATGTCTCTTCCCTTCCTGTCCCTTAGCCCATCTTGAAGAGCAAATTTCATAAGATACTGTAGTTCAGTAATGATACAAATGTATATTGATGCTGAAAGCCAAGCATGAAACAGTAAATAAATATTTTTCTACAAAGGCTTGATCAAATCTGGATAATATAGATTTAGCATCCCTGTGCAGGGTACTTACTTGTACCTTGTTCTGTAATATTGTACCTTGGGCTGACAGAAACCAATTTTACTTAAGTCAGCTTATACGTGTGCAAGTTAGATAGATGTGTCTACAGTATTTAATATTAATGTATTTTCCTTAATTAATGTTTTATGACTCTGCTGTGAACACCTTTATTCTAACACACTAAGTTTTCCATGTTTCTTTGCCTGCTTTTTCAACAAAGAGGATACTTCTGACAAGATGGATGGTAAGAAATTGTTTAGTCTGTCCTCTAATTCTATTAATTATGTTAAAGTGTCTTTTATGTAAAATATTTAATGTTTACTGTGTTTGTCTATTGATTAACATGTACTACACTATTTTCATTAACTCCTATGTAATCTTAAGGTCTTAATATATATGTTGTGTATATGTATTTGTCAACGTTTTGAATGTATCAACAACAGAAACTTGTATCAGAATTTTGTTATTACTCCAAATAAGAAAAAAATGACAGAGCAATTCTGTAGTTAGATTTCTTTTTGTGACAAGGTCTAGTTTTGTTTTATTCTGTAGTTCTACCTCTCAGGTCAGCTTTTTTGTTTGTTTTGTTTTGGAGTTTTTGGCAAAATAGCCATTGGAAAACAGAATAAGCAGATAATTAAGAATTTCTAAAATGAAATTGAAATTTTCTCTTTAGAAATTGCTCCCATCAGAATCTGGTCTAGCTACTTAACTTTACATTCCTGTAAGTCGCATGATCCAATGCAATTCCATTAAAGAATAGTTTGTTGAGGAAACCTACCTCTTTAAATAGCTTACCAAGTAGTCTAGTTGTGCTTTAGCACTAACTTTTTCTTAGTTCACTATACATGGATGGGGTTGGCTTATGTTTTTGTCATAACTGCAGAGCAGCTGAGAATCATGTTTCTCATAGTGCTTGTTAGACTTTTTCAGGTGTGTGCAAGTAATGCTTCACACGTTGATGCCTGGTAATGTTAATTTCTTGTTGGAAAACACCTTACAAGTCAATTGCATTTGCTACTTAATTCATAACTCTCATCACGTGCATTTTAACAGTGCACGTTTAGAAGAATGAGAAGAATGAGTATCACTGAAAGCAGAGCAGGTGATGTTTTTCCTTTCATAGACAGTATACTGAGTCTCCTGAGGGAAATATACACAAAATATGCACAGAAATGAAAATAGTGGGAAGGTAGGTCTCTACAGTGCTGAATATTGTACATGTATAGCTATTAGGGAGATCCTCTGGGAAGAATTTTAGCTATTTTGGGGTGTTGCAGGTGGCAAGTCAATAAAATACGATTTTCTGGTACAGTATTTTAGTATCTTTCTTATTTCCATATTGGATTTCCTTGTATTGCATATAATAGGATTCAGACTGTGCTGAGCACTTGCTGTGTGCATTCTGCACATTGTCACCAGGAAAAAGCTTTCTTAAGAACTAGTGTCATAACTTGTGGAGGTGTCCCATGCGTCTGTTCAAAAGGGGAAGTGCTCCACAATTGATGAGAGCAATGATTTTTTATTTTGGTGGGATAATCTGTGGAGATGATGTGAGACAGAGTGAACACATCTTAACTCTCAAGCTGTAATTTATCATACAGCTGCTCTGATCTAACTGCTTCCTGCAAGAAGTTATTTTTTCCTTCTACTGCTAATCGTGGCCTTGTTTCTATGACTTCTCTTTCACTCATGCTTTGTAGTACTCCATTATGAACTACTGTAGGTGAAGAAATTCCAGAAGGATAGAACATTAGATTAGATAGAACAGAGATGAATAGTATTCTTCTCTTTTTTTTGTTTTGTGTTTTTTTTTAATCTCTTGAAACTGACAGTGAACCTTCAGCTGTCCAGACGAGTTGGTTGGTTATCCAAAAGTGGATAAAAGAGAAGCAGCACCACTCCTCCTAGGATAAGAGCTAGCTGTTAGCCTAGCTTAAATGTTCCAAGATCGAGCTCTGAAAGAATGTTGGGTTTTCTGTTCTTTTTTTTTGTTTGTGTGTTTTTTCTTAACACAGACTAGCAAATTTGATTTGGCAAAACTGAGACACTCCTACATATGTATTTATGTACCTGATTTTTGTGAAGAAATTTACACTCAGTTAAAGTTTAGAGGAAGTTTTTAACAGTAGTGACTTAAGGATATTACAGTATGAAGAAGTCACAGTCAGATATGCTGGGACAGTATAGGATGAAAAGAAAAATGGAATTACCCTTTGAGTATTTATTTTTTTTTAGTCCAGTTAACATTTTATCAGTGTTACTGTATGTATATTTTTCTATCATCATCAGATCTGTTTCAGAGGAGCTTGGAGAAATGGAGCATTGTATAGATAGCTTCTCATTGATTCATATGCACTGGTGTCACATTTGTCCCGCTCATTTTGTCATAATGTAGCCTTGTTAAAGTTGATGTAATTGTTCAAGTGTGATCAAGTTGCTTGTTTCAGCAAGCTCCTGTTCCATCTGCTCACTTCTCTGAACAAAACTTAATCTCACGTAGATTTTAAAAGTAATCATGCACTTAATTCAGAGAAACTCCTTGGTGGAGTTTCTAATGAGTTATAACTGCCCAGTGTGTGAAACACAGTTCTTATCTGTGATGTGTTCTTATCTGAGATAATTTATAATAGTATGTTTTATATCAGAAAAGTTTGCACTAGAATATTTATAAAGTCTGTTTTGGTCAGGATCTCATTTAGTTGCCTTACTTAATTTTTCTATTGTTTTTTCTTGTGTTTTTGTGACAAGTTTGGAAGGCAGTGCTGTGTGTTGCATTCCTGTAAATCACTGAAAGTATAGCATGGGTGTTTTTTGATAATTCTGCTTCATTTCAATAATGGAGTTGTAATCCAGGTTTTAGACCTCTTCCTGATCTGGTAAAATTTGTCAAGATTCCTAAGATTATCTCAGAAAAGGCATTAAAGACGCACACTGTTGTTTGGAATATCATGTATTTTGTTATTTTTTTCTGTTTAGGAACAGCTTCTGAAGATGGTAAGAAAATATTTTGTTAGAATAGCTGATATTTTCAGCTTTATATTTTCATTAATGCAAATTAAGCTTTGAAAGTACAATGTGGTCTTCTTGGGGTGTTGTGGAGATACGTAACTCCAGACAGCTTATGCATCTAATACTTGGTTGTCATGTAGTAATTTTTAAATTAATTCTCAAGTTCTCATTGCAGTACAAGTATCATTGCTTAACATTTTCAGTGTGAAAATACAAGAGCTTTACAGTTTTGTGTTTATTTTACTTTTAAAGCAAGTCACAGATAATCTCATCAAATATACTCATGCTCTGGGAAACAGGTGCTGCTATTATTATTCATCTTTTTGAGACTTGTGAATCAATTTTCAGTATGCTGTTTGTTGAAACGTGTCATTAATGGCAGATAACAGTTTATTTGCCTCACAAATAAAAACTGCTTGTTGTTGTTCTGTTTTTATTTTTTTCTTTGATGAAATTGAACCAGGTTCCAATTGATAATTTAACACAGCAGTGAAATAGTGGCACTCTGTATTCCTATGTTTTGGGGCCAAATTCTCAACACAGTCTACATGCCTTGCAGTCTCACAGCACTCATTGGGAAAACACTGCCATTGCATGGGGATAACTAGTAGAGTTTGGAGCACTTAATCTAACCAATCTTGCTAACATATTTTTTCTAGTAGTTTAGTGAATAACCTCCTTTATTCTGGTTCTCTTCTTATAGACTCTCATCTATAGCTATTTCCTCTACTTGGATGAATAATATTAACTTGGTTGGTCTCCAAATTCTGGTGTGGAAAGCTTAAAGAGACTAGAACTAAAGATAGTCTGCATACCTAGTTATTCTGGGTCTAATATTGACTGTACATGTCTAGAAAACATTTAAATTATTCTATTTTAAAAAGTGAATTACTTGTTGAGCTAAATCCACGATGCTTAAACCTTTTAGGTTTTGTTTGTGAAACTTCTGAGAAGCATGGTTAGCACAGTTTTATGGGAGGGTTTTTGGTGTTTTCTGTTTTTTTTTTTCCCCTCTATGTTCCTTTCCTTGGTAATTTTGCTTTGAACATTTATGAGGGATATGGCTAATAGTGCAAAAAACGTCAACTTCTGGCATTCTAGAGAGAAGTGATTTCTGTTGTTTCAGAATTGTCAGTTCTTCTGTCTGCTGAGAGGAGTAGTATTTTTTGATATCATGCTGACACTGAGACTTAAATTTATATAATATTTCCTAATTGCTGTAAATCATATAGATGTCTATTTTACCATGGTCAGGAAAACAGTACAGTAATAGGAAAGATAGTATTCAGGTTTCTAAAAAGAACACAGAATTTAGGAAGAAATCTCAGAACCCTATTCAGAAGTGAAACAAGGCTAGTTTTGTAGTTTTGTGACAGTAAAAGTAGAATTATAACCACAAGTAATAATGAAAAGACTGAATCTGCAGTATTAGCAGCTCCATTGCCTGTTACATATTAATAAATTTCCCTTTTTGTAATGTGATCAACATATTCATGTAGGAAGCAAGAACTAACTAGCTCAGGGTATTTAAATGGTAATATGCAAATAATTTACTGAGGCACGTAGCATCAGAGAAGTATTCTGAACCCTCAGTTATTAAGTCCTTTCAATATGTTCAAATTTCTACTAATTATCCCAAGTGAATTTTCACCTTTTACATTGTGCTTTGTTTTTACGTACGGAAATGTAAGAACATATTAGTGAATGCTACTAATGCTTTACTTTCTACATTGCTGTGAAAAACTAACTGAAAGCAATTTTTCTGTTATAGGTCGTATACGAACAAAGCTTTCAACACCTTCTGTTGGTATTGGAAATTCTAAAACAGATTCCAGAGGACGGAGCAGAACCAAAGTGGTCTCTCAGTCTCAGCGTATGTATTTGCTGTTTCTCAGATATACCTGATAAAAGGCCAAATGCTTTAGCATACGTTCATTGACAAATGGCTACAGTCAAAGTTAATTTAAAAAAAAACAAGCTACATACTGAGTTGTTGTTCTGTGCCTTAGGTTCATCATCGCCAGAGAAAAATGAAGGTATTTTTTCAGTGTTTTGGGTCAGTGGTATTTGCATGCTTTTCTAATTCATGTTGTTTTTCTCTTGGCAAAATAGTAGGCTAGGTCTTAGTTTGTCAGTTCAATTAGATCATGTAAAAAGAACTGAACCCTCCCTTAAATTCTTTCTTCAATTATAACCTCTCAGCATTCTTCTCTCCCCCTCCCCTCCAAATCCTAAACACACAACACCAGTAAAATATCTGTGTCAAATATATGTAATACATGGAGAAATAACTCAGAAAAATGTGTAGGCTGAATGGTGTCTTCAGTGTTAACCTTAGAAATTAATCTTTCACTTTTCAAAAAGTCTTATATCTTCAGCCAGAAATAGCAAATTTCATTTTCAGCTAGGCCACTAAGCTAGTTCTTGAATATTTACTCCTTTTTTGTGTTAGAGACATTACCTTGCCTTTACTTATCTCTTTGGCACAAAAAACACTCCACACTAACCAGATAGTCTGTTCTGTTCTTGCGCTGAAACCAAAAGTTGTAAAGAATAAATTTGCTGTATGTTAGCTGATCCCCAGTAATTTTCTTGTGTGCTCATAAACAAAAGCAAATGGAGAATTTCTCATCTAGTTGAGCTGCCTGTCATTAATTAGAGACCTGACTCTACCTCACCTTCTTTGACACTGACAGACCTATGGCAGTTTGTTTGTTACCTGATGCCTACAGCCAACTTCTTCAGAAAACATACCTATATTGTTTTCAGGTTTTCAGCTTTGTCTCATCTAGTGAAATGCATTAAACATCTTTTAATTAAATTGAATTTAATTAAATTAATGAAAGGAACAGAAATGAATGATAAAATTAATGTAAATAATAGTTTGACAGGTTTCATGTTACAAAGTTAGTAAGTAGCATAGATTTTCAATTTCTCATTGTAATTATTCTTCTAACAACTGTATCTACTTTCAGTAAAAACCTTTAATTCTGTGGTTAATGGCAGAAATGTTTATCTTCTTCTTAGTAATGGCTGCATTTCTTCTAACTAGAATTTTAGAGGTTAAAAAAATAGAAAAATGTTTGTTGATTTTTCTAATAGAGCACTTCCTGTTCCGTTCTATTCTGTAGAATTCATTTTCCATCAAAGATAGTTGGATCAAATTTGTTCCAATAATTTCAGGTTTTGTGAACTAAAATTCTAAAAACAAACAAACAAACAAAAACCAAAACTGAGCAAATAAATAAAAAATAATAAAATAAATAACAGAAGTGCTCTTAAGTAAACTTTTCATGGATAATTATCTAATCCCATGATTATTTATGGTTGAAAGTTAAGCTTAGTTATTGGCTGTGACAGAAGTTGTGCAAAACTTGCTCTATGTTTCCACTGTCAACTGAACTCTGTCATAAGCAAAGAATTTTTGGATTAATAGTTTAAGGACAAAGTAGAGACAGCAAATGACCTAAAAACTACTTTAGTAAGAGCAATGAGCAATATCTGTATCTTTCCACTGATACTTGGAAGGAGCTGATCTTTCTATGAAGAAATGTAATAGATTCTTAAAAATAAACTGGAAGAAGGGGAGTTTAAAATTTAAGTAGTGATCTATGACTTCTCTGATGATAAACATCATCTCACACTGAACTGACTACAAATCCAGGGAAACAAACTGAAGCATGTATAGTTTGATTTTTGCAGATGATGACAGTTTTTTTGCAAGATAATTCTTTTTTTTTTTTTTACCATATCAATATTAAAAGAGATGAGCTGAATAGATACTGAAATAACTAGATGTGTTTACTTGTGATGATGTGTAAAAATTAAATATAAGGATGCATCTTCAGTGCCTTTTATCACATCTGTTCAGAACTGATGCTTTCAGTTAGCTCATTTATAATCTGTAAGTTGGGGAGAACAAGAATTCTGATACAGTTTAAAGAAGGTAAACAGGGCGAATACAAGGTGAAGGAGAGCTGTCAGGCAGTGTATACCTGCTGTTTAGGTGATGCTTCTTTACACAAATAAAAATTTTCACAGCATCGCATGGAGTGAGATTCTTGATGTTTCCCTACCTTGGATTGGTTTAATTTCCTCACTTGTAGCAGGGCAATAATTTCATATTAGATTTAAGCTTAATATTTCTTAAACAACAACAACAAAAAGACTGTAACACAGATGCTTTTGTAAATACTATTCAGTATTTTTGTTTGAAGCTCATTGTGTGAAAGACTTGCAGATCGGAATGCTTTTACAAATGATGCTTTTTAGGGTTTTAGAGGGGCTTTACTCCTACACCTACCTCAATTATTAAATTCTTTCCTAAAATAAATATCTGTACAACCTGCATCCCATTACTTTATCCTTGGAAAAAAACAGTTCAGTTTTTTCCTGTCTCTTTCTATTTGGTTGTCACTTAATTCAGCAAGGTATGCTAAAATTAATATAGTCTTCATTCAGAGAAAGAATAAAATTTCTGAATGGAAACAAATTCTTACTGTTACACTTCAGATGAATTGAGAAAGAGGAAAACCCTAAATTATATGCAAGTCTTTTCAAATGTGCCATTGTGAAAGTTGTTTGCTTTTTTTTGGTCATCCACCGCACTTGCAGCTCAGTTCCTTTACTGTCTGTCTTGAACAAAAATATGTTTTGGCCTTGTGTGTAATTTTTGTTCAGCTGTTGAAATTTTGAAGTTGTTTTGGCAACCTCGTATTTTTTAAAAGTAATTTGAAGGCTACGGTTTCATGTTTAATTGAAATTAATTCTTCAGTGTTACCCACTTGTTGATCAGAAAGCTGAAGAATTGTAATTTGCTTGTGCAGCTTTGCTTCATCTGCTTTGTACATGGCATTTGAACTTAGTTCTTCAATTGTGGAAGCTATTTAAAAGCACTGCTTTAGCATAACCCCCTTGTGGCTTTTTTTCCTGTGTGAAATGACTAAAGCTTTCTTATTTCCATTTGCCATCCATTTTAAAATCTGCTCTGCTCCCTCCCTCTTCATGGACTATAAACCCCTACCCTAATCCTGCCTTTACACTTGTTCAGGATCACAGTCTGCTAACCCCATTGGTGGTAAGAGTCTACGGAATTTGTGTATACATCATTGTTTGATCACCTGTTTTACACACCTCATTTTAAGGCCCCTATTCAGCAGAAATTCTGGCTTGCTTTTTTCCATATGCTGCACTTAACTCCCATGAATCAACTGTTATTCGGAAGGCAGCAGAACTGGGAGGGTTTTGTCAGTTTAGAATACTGCTTTAGTAATTCCTCCTTTTTAATTGATCATCTAGCTTTCGCTGTTCAGATCTGATGCTGATGGTAGTGTTAAGAACAGCATGACAATGGTGTTGCTCTTAAAATAATGTTTTCAGGATATTCCGCTGTTTGGTTTATTTAGGCTGTAGTGGTATGCTCTGCAGGTTAGACAAAAAGATATTAAAAATAAGCTAGAATAATGAGAGGTTATATTCCACCTGTATACTTTGAGAATTGAAGTTCTCCACTTTCTGACGTATTGTAGAATATAGTCTAAAAATCTCTGGGACAGTGAAAGGTTTTTCCAGTATTTGGGTTGGAAATACTGGAAAGTGGGAGCACAGAATAGTAGCATCAGGCATAAGTTGAATTACCCCAATGTGAAGAAACTGACAAACCCTTAACTTCTGCAGACCACAGCAATTTTATCAACTTGCCTATTCTTTTTCCTTCCCTACACTCCCCCCAATTATAGAAGCTATGCTTATTTTTTTCTAGGCTGTTTAAAATTTATTTATCATTTCTGCTGAATAGGTCCATAGTTTGGAAAAGGGCATTTTGCTAAATAACCATTTCAAGTTTGAATTCAAACAATGAATCTGAAGGTATATGCATGGTATATATTTTTTGTTTTCTCCCTTCACCTAGCCTATATTTTGTTTTGTTTGGGATTTTGTTTCTTTTCCCATACAGTCAAGCTTTATTAAACTCATTTTTTTAATAAAATATACCTCATAAGAAGCATCCCATGAAACTTAGTTAAGATGTTGCATGTTAAGGTCATAGATTTGATAGCATAGGTGAAGTCATATGGTTACGTGATTATTTTTTAAAAAATTAATGGAATATTCTTATCTGCACATAATTAACATTTGGTTTAAATTGTGTTTTGCCATGTATTTGGTCAGAATTGTTCAATTCCGCAGCTGGAAATACAAATAAATTTATATCAACTGGTGGTACAGAGTTGTAGAAAAAGAGTGGGTTGTTTGTTAGGGCATAGAACTGACATTTGCTCTAACTGCGATGTCAAAGGATGGATCTGCATCAGGGACAGCTTCTTGTATTGGGTATGCTGGTATGCTGTGCTGAAATGAACAGTTCCAGTTTGAAGAACCCATGCTTTAAGGAGTGTGTAAGAAGAGTTCATATGTTAGGAAAATGATGATTTCGTTCTGTTACAACATTGGTGGCATTGGAAGAGCTGGGATAATGACAAAACCACTGGTTTATAGTTGCTCACTTCAGCTTCCTAGCTGTTCTTTTCAAAATTATTTTATTAACATTACTACAGAAAACATGATTAACGACACAGTGAAATTTGAAAGAACAGGCCAGTGTTTGTGTCAGGGACATCCAAACCGATGATGAAAATGGGAAATGCAGTTTCTGGTTTCTTGAGCATACCTAGTGCTCAGTGCCACACCAAGTGCTTCCTTGTATTGATAACTGTATCTACCTGCTGTGTGGTTCCTTAAGAACTTGTACCAGTGCTTTAAATTTCACGTTTTTACCGTGTATGTTTTTCCAGACCATTTCAATCTACCACCAGTTTCCTGCTGTTTTTAAGCATTTTTTAAAACCCTGGTTGTTTATGTGCTGTTACTTACATTCCTTCATTTTGCCTCCAGCTGGCAGTAGATCTGGATCTCCTGGAAGAGTTTTGACAACAACTACGCTTTCCACTATGAACACAGGGGTTCAGAGAGTGTTAGTGAACCCTGCAGCTGCACAAAAACGAAGCAAAATCCCAAGAAGTCAGGGATGCAGTAGAGAAGCCAGTCCTTCTAGATTGTCAGTAGGTAAGAATTGATAAAGAATTCTTGATTTCTTTACAGACAATTTTATGTTATGTGCAGGCTAACTATTCCTTGCATTTACATTACAGGTGGATGGTAAAAATTAGGATGCATGTAAATAAAAATCTAAAATGTACCTGGATGCTGACACTAGGAATTGATAAACTAGACAGATTTTCTAACTTGCAGTGGATAGCTTTTTTGCTCTGAAAATGCAGTAGTTGTTCTTTTCTCCTCCATTTCTTCCTTCCCTCTTTCACTCTTGTCTTATTCTCACCCTCCAAACTACCACATCCATTAAATAAAATGGATTACCATTTTAAGGAGGTTTTCTTTATTACTTCTGTGTTCTCTGGATATGTGTGTGTGTATATATATTTCTGTGATACAAAAATGAACATCATGCTTCCTATGCCTCACAGTATAAGCTGATTACACTTGATTATCTGTACTGAAATCAAGCAGTGTTTTTCAATAGGTATTGCTGCTGTTCTTCATCTTTTTTGTATTTTTGATTTATGTCCTAGCATTATTATCTTTATATTTTCCTTCTTGTGAAAGCTTAATTTTTCATTTCTGTTACTGTTGAGTAGGTTACCTAGAGCGTGAACACAAATTTTGAATGAATATTCTCTCCATATTTTTTTATTGCTTGTTCAATCTCCATCTTTTTCAAGAGTTTTTTCGACCGTTCTTTGAAGAGTTGGTAAATCAACCTTGTTAGCTGTCCAGAAAAGTAGTTTCACTGAACTGACTACACTTAGTGTATTCCAGCACAATCAAGAAAGTGTGTGGAATCAGTTAAAATACATCATAATCATCAGTGTCTTTTCGTAGAAATACATCTTTGATCTTACTGAAAAGCAGAATATCATTAAAACTGCAACTTTTCTTATGTCTTCTCCCTTCTGTGCTGCTGTTTGTCTGTACCCTGAATCATACTAGCGCGAGGCAGCCGCATTCCTCGGCCTAGTGTGAGTCAGGGGTGCAGTCGGGAGGCCAGCCGTGAAAGTAGCAGGGACACGAGCCCTGTCCGCTCTTTTCCACCCCTTGGTAAGTACTCAGAGCCCCTTGTCGTGCATGGCTGTCTGCCCTTCATTATTTGCACCTAACGAATCCATGCCTCCTCCATGTAGCTTGTAGCAGGCCACCGTTATTTTCCCTTCCTTGGCTCACTCACCATTTACTTGGATGGAAAATTGACCAACGTGTGAATGGGTTGCACACTTCAAAAGTACTTTGCTAGTATTTGCCTTACCTTAAAATTTAGGAGCTTAGAAAGATGTGTGATTCATTGCACCTAGTTGTTTGAAGGGTGATTCTGCTTTTGGAGGGTTTTTGAAATTACTTGTTGATCTTTGTTAGAGTATTCATTGCTTAGAAACAGTTAATCCATTTGAGCAACTAAAATATAGCTTGACTGTCATTCTCCACCTTTCCTTGCATCACCTAGAATCTGTTAATACGCAAAATGAAGCAGATTTTGTTCTCAGCTACCCTGTCATCAGGGTACTCTGTGCCATTAAAGGGAGTAATGCAGTGGTAAGATAAGGAACCGCTACGGAGGTTCTAGGCTGTCACTGTGTTCCAGGCTGCCTTCAGTTTGCTACAGATGAACAGGGCAGGTAGCAGAGTCCTCATGCTAGTACATGAACCAAAGTACAGTTCTGAAGTTTGTTTTTAATCAGAGTAGAAAAAGTGATTATGGAGCAGAGAAGTAATTGAACTGTGTTTTTACGTAGGAAAGAAGTTGAAAACTTTAACATTCACACATACAGCGTAACCACTTTCAGTCCTCTTCCTAGGGTTGCTGTAAGTTTTGTTTTCACTGAGTATTTCAGTTTGTTGTCCTAACACTTAGATGATTTTGTGTAATTGTCAAGCTGGTTTGTGTTCCTGAGAAGTGAGTAAGGAATAGGGAAATTTGCTTGTAATTATTTTATCATGCTATGGATTAGGGAAACTTCTTGTATCCCTGTCAAGGTTGTTACAAACTTGGTTGCAAATGTTGATGAAAGTATCTTGCATGCTAGATTTCTATTTTTTCAGCAGTACAAAACTTTCTCCATAAGACTGTCTGCTGACTGAACAGTGTAATTTTGTAGTTTGCAGTTCAAAGTGATGTGATTTTAGCCACAAAGCCTATCCTGAATATAGAAAATCTCTGGTTTCTCTCTCAGATGAAGCACCTGACTGTACTAATTAGCACTGGAAGTCTGTTACAGTCTGTTAAGGCAGTGTGCTTCCTGTCAGCCTTGGTTTTTATTGGGAAAGTGTGGATTAATTGAATGAAAGCTGTTTCAGTAACTAATGCTAATCTACCCAGATGCTGTTTAATTGGGAAATTCAATTGAAAGCAGACATGATGCAGGATCCAATAATAAACCTGTCTCTCTTACTAAAGCGTAGCAGGAGGACTGTATTGTAGCATACACACATCTTTTCTCTTAAAAATGAGATTTTTCCAGTTCTTTTTGTGCTGCTTTTGTGCCCTACACCTTGAATTTAACTGCATGCATGTAAGATCTGATTTGCATTTGATTTTTTTAATCAGTGCAGTTAATTAAAAAAAAATCTTTGTTAAACTAATACAACAATAATGTTATTTAGTGGATCATTGGGCCAGATGCTACTTGAGATTTTATTTCTATAGATGGAGTTTAACTTTTGTGTTAGATTTCAGAACAAATACAATAGGTTAAATGACTGATAGCACAGGGAATGCAGAGTAGCAAGTATGGGGGTTAAAATTAAAAACAAACAAACAACTGTATCTGAAAGAAGCCTGAAATCCTTCTACTTATGAATTTTAATTGTCATGCAGTATTTTGTTAGAGCAGCTTTGTCTTATGAGATGTTGTTGATTTCCATTAAAAAAATAATAATGTTTTTCAAGGATAGACTTAGAAGACAAATCAGTTCATCTCTGTAATTAGAAATAGCTACACATGGTATTGGGGAAGGGAGGAAATGTTTGTATTATCTGCTTTTTAGCAGAGGAAGTTTTGCTTACAAGCGCTAAACCATTCAGGTAAACTGGCACACTTGTTTTAGAGTTGTTTCTCTGTGGGAAGTGCTTCTGTAGCCTCACATCTCAGTGTAAGACCACAAAGGGAGAGAGAACAGCCACTGAGTAGCAAGAGATTGGTAGCTAGTGTGGAAGGGCCAATTTTTCTCTTACATGCAGCTGATATTAAACAGCAAGCCAATGTAATTTTCATACTGCAGTCAAGAAATACATTGTTATTTTGAGTCTTTTTAAAATAGTTCTTATTTTCATTATTTTTCTTCATTTTAATTACTTATAAGTAAATACATTACTTCTGCTGTTCAAAGGCTACAAAAAATATTTTTGAAAATACTTTTTGAAACGAGATGCATTCGATCCAAAATATTGCCTCCTTTTGCTGTCCTAGAAAATTTTCCAGCATAATTCAAATGTATATGGAGACTGGATCATCTTGAATTATATGGCTAAAGTTTACCTTTAGTTTTCAGGGCTTGTTGATGGAAAATAATGAAAGGTTTACTCCACTGTTGCATGTCCTTCCAGCTATATTATTCTTGATGCACATGTTTTGACATGTTCTGTCTCCTTTTCCATACTGAGATGTGTGTTCTGAAGAAACAAGTATTCCATAAAGTATTATTTTCTTAATAAAGCTACCTAGCTAAACATTTTCAGGCAGATTTCACTTGGCATAAAATACTTTGCTGTACCTCTGCAAAAAGCAGAGAAAGGGGAAAAAACAGTGTTGTTTCTGGGGTCTTTGCAGTGCTCAGGATCATTTTGAGGTTCACTCAGGTTAAGTGATACGTTCTTCCTCAGATGTGATTTGATCTGTGTTGGAATTGCTCAGTTCAAACCAGGCTCTTAGATTGTGCATGATAATCAGAATAAACCATGATTCATTTAATTCCTGGTTTCTGTTTTTACTGCTTTATGTATCCAAAAGGTATAAAATATTTGCATTTTCAGTTCTTTATTAAATTGTAGTATTATGTCTGGATGCAAGTCACTTCGGTTAGACTTCAAAGTCTTCAAAGCCAGTTTCAGTTACATGATTGTAAAATTCTGCATTAAGTGAACTGCTGAAGGAAACTGACTTGCTAAAAACATTAATGTGACTTGATATAAGAAAGAAAATACTAGCAATGTTGTGTAGGCCAACTGTTTTAGAATCTGTGAAAGACCGTTCTTTTAGAGAAGCGTCATGAAAAAAAAGAGGGTGCTCCTTTTTATTCAGAAGTCCTTAAGGATCTTTGGTTCCAGCCTTCAGTAACTTGAAAGGATTTTCAGCAGCTGTAGTAACCAGCATACATTGTTAAGAAAACAATAAAAATGTGAAATGTTAATTACACTAACTTCTTTTATTTTTTTGTAATTAAAATTGAATAATTTTAACTTCCAATTGTAAAGTGGTGATTTTAAGTAAAGGCTAACTTATCTGCACATGGGCAAGAACTTAAGCTAATGCCAGTTGTCAGCTGTTAACACAGTTTGTGCAGTAGTTACTTTCTTCCAAATTGTTTGGTGTGTGAGCTCTGGCTCTTGAACTTGTAGAATCGAATTAACCGCAATGGAAAAACAGTGTTAGTGAACCTTTGCCAGTATTTTTGAGGATTCTGGTGTGTGTGTGTGTGTGTGTGTGTACCTATGCTTCCTTTTTACTTTGAACTTGAACATATTTGCTTTTAATCTGCTCTTAATCCTTTAAATTAAAAAATCATGCATGAAATATGCAGTGTACATAAACCTCTCTGTTCTACATAATCAAAGAACTTGTCTAAATCTTTATCCTTCTGTGTTGTATTCATTTTCCTGTGCTAAAGCTGTATCTTTTTGATAAATGTGCTTTTGTTCATCTAAGCAACTATTGCAGCACTTTGATTCCGTGGTAATAGATAGGGTTTGTATGATCCTGTTATTGCAGCTTCCAGACATCACTCCAGATCCACTGGTGCCCTCTACGCTCCTGATGCTTATGGGGCTACAGGTGAAGGATGAGTACACTTTGCTGTCATCTGTGCAGTCATCCTGGATTTTTTTTTTCTCACCCACCCACTTGGTTATCCTCATAGTTCAGTTGTAAAAAAACATTATTTATATTAATTTATGTTCTATGGTTTTAATAATCCAGATAGATATGTTTGTGTTACTAGATTTTGTCTCCACCCTCATGCCCCAATGATAATCCTTTCCTTCCCTAACAACAGTCACTTTATTTTTCCTTGCAGAGGATTTTTTAGTTTTCCACTCATTCAGTATTTGTAGCGCATTCTTTATGCATGTAGTTTTTTCATCAGTAGTCTCTGTGACCTTCCTATTATTTTTGCTTTCCTTTGAAATGAAAACAAAAACCCAAAATGAAGATGTTTAAAAAAAAAAAAAAAAAAAAAAAGGGCATCACCGAGTTATTTTTAGTTAAAGTAATTCATTTGTTGTTGTTTTTTTTTTTCTTCTGTGATACTGGAATGGAATCTTCATATTCCTGTTGTTATTTCAGTTGCACTTTTCACCACACTATTAAAGATGTTGGGATGAAAACATTCGTATTTTAGCCCCTATGTGATTTATTAGAAACATTAAAGAAAAGCTTTTCTTCTGCTTGGGTTTTTTTTTTTGAGTGAGTATATTATTCTGTGTTACTGTTTTGACTGAAGTCTGTTTTGTTATTTTTTCTTTTCATTTTTTTTGTTGATGATTTAACAGGTACCAGCTTTGGAATTAGTCAGTCGAGTAGATTGTCCTCATCAGTTAGTGCTATGCGAGTTCTGAACACGGGTTCTGACGTAGAAGAGGCAGTAGCAGATGCTTTGGTAAGACTCTCATGCCTGTGTTGTGCAGGATGCAAACTGCTAAAATGTTTAGTGTCTGTACATTGAAGTGTGCAAAAGAACTTGTCCTTCCATGTCTTACTGACCTGTAGGTGTGGAAAAAAGAGAAGCTGAATTACTGCAGCTGCAAAGCGTAGGAATTTTTGTTCTTAACTTTTGAGAAACGTTCATTTTCCATGACGGGCAGGATATAGTCTTGGGCTGTTCTGTTGGAGTAGCTGGAGGAGCCTCTTGAGCAGAAGGCACTTAGAAGCAGTATCCCACAGCAGCTGCACTAACATCTAGATAGGTTCAGGTTGGTAGGCTTCTCAGAGCTGGGGACGATAAGAGCTAAGGCACACTTACAGTTGTTTTGACAAAGTGCAAGGTTAATGCTGGAGAGATAAACTGATGGTTTGACACGCAGTGTTCAGTAAGCTTGGTTTGTATTTTTAAAATGTTACACTTATTTTTAAGCTAGTTGTGCTGTTCTGTCTGAACCGTACTGTTCTTTAAAAGGATCTTTTGGCTTCTTCTCCATTGTGCCCCAGTTAGCCAAACTGAAAGCATATGTCATGTGTTTCATTGTTCTGCCATCAGTCACAGCAAGCTGAAATCTTCAAATAATTTAAAATACTGGTATTGTGAGTTTTCAACATCTTGATCACATATTGTAGAAAATTTGTGTAATGTTATTTATATATAATATTTATTACATAACAAATAGAATTCTGTAAGGAGTTTGTTGTTATTTTTTTAACAACAAAAAATAGGTCTAGAATCATAGATCAATTTGCATTGGAAAGGACCTTAAATATCATCTAGTTTCAGAGAGGAAAACAAAATTTTAAAGGAAAAAGAATCTGAAGAAGTCGATTATGTTTGAATAGTCTTGCCAATTTATTGACTTCTTGGTTAATACTGTTTTCATGATAAATTTATTTAAAAGTCATTTGCTTTCGCAGGCACTGAGATAGTATTATCTGTGACATCTTGCCTAACAAGTCATGGTGTTGTTGATCATTAGTGTTTACCATTTTTCATATTGTAAACTTGCAAAAAGTTTTGGGCAGGAATCTGGAATGCTTGTTAGCAAACTCAAACTCAGTCTGCATTATGGATTTTTATAATGTCGAATAGAGAGAAATAGCACATGGGACATTAGAAGTTTCTGTCTATAACAAGGAACCCCACGTTGCTGCTACGTAATGTCTGTCTTTACTTTGAGCAGTTTCAAAGCTTATTCAAATTTAGTTTGGTTACAAGTGTAGTAGGAAATGCATAATGAGTTGAGGAGAAACTCTTGTTTCTAATGACTGTTTTTGAGACTTAAATGTTCTCTGCTTAGTTGAAGCAATCAAGTTTGTTCATAGAAACTCATTTGTATTACCTGAATGCAGAATAGCATGATGTTTCTAGAAGTGCTAGAGGAAAATTAATTTGTATATTTTAGCTAGAATCTACACAACTAGGAAGGATCGAGAAGAGCTGAATTAGAGTACTACAGTATTAGCAAGACTGCTTGCCTCCCATGCAGTTGGCTCCATTTAGATGAATCTGGTTATGAAGGTTTTTTTTTTTCCCATCATAGACTAAAGCCCCTTCTCAGTATTGTGTTTTTTAAAAGGTAGAACAGTAACATCCTGACAGACGTAATACAAAAATCAAATATTATGGATTGCTTTGTTGTTAATGTTATTTTATCTCTTCCTTTACTCTGTTACATGCATATGTTGTTGACAGTAAGCTTGCTTATTACATGATATATTGACTAGTTTGTATTTAAATACCATTAAAGCTATTCAGCAAGGAAAAATGAAAACCCTATGTAAACTGCTATGATAATTAAGGGGAAAACAATCACTTCTGCTTATTTGAATGTGTAATGAAACTGGATTTTTAACTATTCAGTTCAGCTTCCAGAGTTTGAATGGCACAGTTATTTTCAGCAGCTTGTGTTTGTCCTTTTAGGATAAACTGCATTTTTCCTCTGGCCTTTGTTATGTTGTGTTTTGTTTTGTTGGCTTGCTTTTGTTTTTTAATGTATTTGGGATTTTGCAGCAGGACATTTTCCAAATTCACTTCTCTATTGATAGTTGCAATTAGAACATTTGAATATTTTCGATTCTAAAATGCTGCTAATCAAAACAAGATTGAGAAGCATGTGGAAAAATGAAGTTTAAATGAAGCTTCCATACTTTAATAGTGTAAGAGAGAAAGATTTTGACCAAGTAGCTTTGTGAACAACCAGAAGGTGACATCATGTAATGTGTCCTTGGAAATGGAAGTTAGGCAAACTTCTTATTGGTAATGCATGATATGCTAATCAGATAGAGAGAACTGAATCAAATTTGCAAAAGATTGTGTTTTCCAGTGACAGGTAGTTTAGTAGTCACACTGCTGCTATGCCTTACCTTGCTGTTCTCAATTTCTGTTTCTTTTCAATAATTTACTGCTATCAGCTCTTAGGAGACATACGGACTAAGGTATAGAAATTATTTTCCTTCTTCAGTAGTTTAATATTTTGATATTAACATGTTTGATGCAAAGTAAGTTAAAATGAGAGAATATGGTTTTAGACCTGATTCTTACATCCTTTAACAAGTATAAAGTTAAGTGAAATAACTAACTTTCAGTGCAATCTGTCATCCTATCACGCAATTTTATGAATTTTTACAAGTAAACTTTAAGCTGAACGTTTCATCAAACGTATGTCTTCTTTCCATTTGCTTTGCTTTTATATTTGGAATCCTATGCAAGCCATACATTTTTAAAATCTTTTTATTAACTTGCTTTGAACAGCTGAACGGTTAGAGCCGTTTGTCGGTGCAAGGAGTAGGGCTTGCATCAGTTCTTGGAAATGTTGGTGTTTCTGCTGATAATGGATAATATTTCTTTGTAAATTGCTGTTAATGTGAGGTGTTTCTGAACAATAGAAGAAGCCTGTGCGAAGAAGATACGAGTCTTACGGGATGTACTCAGATGATGATGCCAACAGTGATGCATCAAGTGCCTGTTCAGAAAGGTCCTACAGCTCTAGGAATGGAAGCATACCAACATATATGAGACAGACAGAAGATGTGGCTGAAGTCCTAAATCGTTGTGCTAGCTCTAACTGGTCAGAGAGAAAAGAAGGCCTTCTAGGCCTGCAAAATTTATTAAAGAACCAGAGAACTTTAAGGTAAGAAGAAATGGTAGTAGAAGAATATTTTTAATTGAGAGTTGAAAGAAGGCAGGAAAGGTAATAAAGGAGGCTAATGTTCTAAGCAGCCTGGAAAGTTGAGGAGAGGGGAAGCAGCGTGTGTGTCTGAGAGTAAGAACGGGGAGGGAAGGAATGAGGAATCTAGTGGCTGTTCTGGCTACTAGTGCAAAGGGTCCCTTAAAATGCTTTGTTTAAAAATCAGTAGCATGCTTATAATACAGTGGAGTCTCAAAGTGGTTGCATCTAATATTGATAACATGCTAGCGTAGGTTTTTTATTCAGAAGAAACTGTTCATGGCTAGCTCTGAAAATGTCTTTTTCATGACTGGCTCTATTACAGTAGTTAGGGATAGGAATTTAAAGTGACTTCTGCTGTTCTAAAATGTGAATTAAAGATTCATTTCTAGCTTGAAAGTCATATTTTAGACAAAATTATTTTTATATATGTCTTAGTGGAAGTGCTTTTTTCAATTGGTTTACTAGATTATTTGATTTAGCATTGAGGGTTGATTTCACTGGTTGCTGTGCATTAGTGTACCAGTAGTACTGGCACTCGAGTTGACTAATGTATTTTGTCACTTTGACAGTCGTGTTGAGTTGAAAAGGCTGTGTGAAATCTTCACAAGAATGTTTGCTGATCCTCACAGTAAGGTATGTTTAGGTTTCCTTACCTGCAGTAAAAGTTTGAAAACATGTTCACAGAAGGCCAACTTCAACTTCAGTAAAATGTTGGCAGTAGTTGCACGTGTAAGAATTTCACAAAATACATTCTATACGCAGCTAATGATCTTAGGTCTGAATCCATTTAATTTGCAGCTTTGAACAAGATAATTGAAATAAAGTGAAGGTTTATTTCAGTTAAGATAAATGAGTTTACCAGTTAGTGCTCAAAATTGACAAAAATCTGTAGAAAGTCATGGTGTTTACAAAGGTCACTTGAGCATAAACTAGTGGTTTCCTCTCAACTACAAACAAAACACCTGCTGCAATAATCTAAGTCATAATGAAAGGTACGTAATCTTAACTGTACCAAATATATGCTTACTTATTTTCCAGGATATGTATTCTGCATTTCCATTGCTACTGATATCTTTTGCTAGTTTCACAGAAAAGACTGAATAATTTTGTATCATTGATAATAATTGAGATGTCAAGTATGTTGATGTATAAAAGAAAATGTGATTATTTATTAATTTTTACAGTAGTAAAGACTGCAAGTGGATGATATAACTGAGAATAAGTCATCTGTTTCTAAAAACATTTTAAATCTTTAAAACTGAGTTACCACTCCTGTTATTTTTTTAACACTTATTGTGAGAGATGCATATATATGCAGCGTATATATGTGTATATAATGTACTGCAATAATTTCCACTAGCTAAAGGACTGCAAGTGAATATGAACCTGATCAAAATTAAAGTAATAACATATAGAAAACATGTAACTTCATGTTTAGTTTACAGCTACAGTCTTGCTTGGAAGAAACTCTTATTTTTTATGTTGAATGTAACATGTGCCACTTCATATCTGTATTTCAGAATTGATAAAGGGATAACCCAGAAAAACTCACAGTGGAGTAGTTACTTCAGAGCTATTGGCTTTCCTTCTGTTGAGAAGAAGCCTTGATTATGCAACACTTTTAACATTTTTAAGTCTTTGTGATTGTTTTGATGGAAAGCTAAATTAGAGAGATATAAAATCTTGACAGGCCAACTTCATTATTTTTCTGGCAGGAAAAGTAAAGGCAGGTGAATGCTCTCAGTATTTTTGGAAGAAAATTGCATTGCACACATGAGCATAGTAATAAACTTGCTTACATACTGCAGTAATCCAGAAGAAACAACAAAAACCAAGCTGAAGAGAAACAAAACGTTCAATTAAAAAGAAAAGAGCAAAGAAAATTAAATACTGAAATCTGATTGGGTTTCTAAATGGAGTATGATAAAATTGTGAATAGCAGCTTGGCTTAATTTTGGTGGTTCATTCTTCTGTTAATTCATATAGCAGCTCTGCACCTATTGGTGCTATCCTGGAGATTTTTGTTGAGGTTAGGGTGGAGGAGGAGAATGAAAGCGCTCCAAAGTATAATTATATGCATCAGAAGAACATTTTTAATTTTTATTTATGAAATTACTTTATGAATTACTGCAACCCAGTTGATTTTTTGGTTGTTGTTTATCGGGCATTCTGACATGGAATAATGTAACTTTTGAGTTCTAAAATTTGATTAATGTGGTAGCATAGGTGTTGCAGTCACTGAAAGCTTGCCTGCTTTTTGATATTGCAAAACTAATTATGATTTGTGAATATCCTACCCCTAGGGGGGTCAGCTCAAGTATCAGAGTTCTTGAGCTGTGGATTTTTTTTTATCACGCATATATGGCTGCACAGATCTAATCTTAGAATCTTGTCTTCAAATGCCTGTGGGACCTATTCTGTCATCACTTCTGTGTTGTCTTTTTTTCCACTTAAGGGTTTTTTTTAACATGGTATCTGGATGTAGGGAATTGCTTGGGAGGACAGTAATATCATTTGGAGGAGAAAATGGGTGAATGATTTGAAGGATGTGCCAGTGCTTACTTCTAAAATAGTTTAGATATCCCAATAAAATCCTTAAATTTGTCATAAAAGCTTTGAAATACCTTTTTTTGTTTTGTTTCATTTTATATTCCATACAGGAACTTTGTATTGGTGGCCACTAATTTATATGTTTTTATCTTTTTCCCTTTTTTGTTTTTGTTTTTTGTTTTGTTTTGTTTTGCATGCTGTCTCCTGTGTTGGAACTCTCTTTAGAGAGTAAGTTGGTTCAGTATTTGTTGGAAGCCTAACCTTATTTGCATGAATGTGCAATTAACCCTTTTTCTCTATTTTTCTTCCCCAACAAGTTCATGCAGTGTCAAGCCTTTTGCAATCATAAAATGCTGTATACAATGATGTAAACTGTGTGGCAAAGTTTTGAGATGTGCTTTATCTACTAATTAACTGACATTGTTTGGTTATGCATTCCTGCTTTATATTGTGGTGGTTGGCACATCTGAAATAATTCACTTTAAAGGTAGACCAGTCACAATTACTTTCATATCTGTTTATTTTTTCCACTATCAAATTATTAAGAACTTCAGCTTTGGGTGCTTGATAGAAGTTTTAAGTTGCATCTTAAAAATGGAGATTGCAGAAGTTGTAGTACCTACATACATTGTTCAGGACAAAGGTAGCTGAGTTCCATTTTCCATTCCAAATTCATCCTTTACCTTAAATTCTCTTCCAACTTTTTTTTTTTTTAATCCTCACGCTTTGACTGAGACAAAAAGCCATGATATTTTTATATTTTTTATACCAGAAAATGATTAAAGTTACACAACTTTCCTGCTGGCAGTTATGTGGTAGAGCTAAAATCAAGGCCTGAAAAGAAAACTGAGTCATCAGTTGTGAATGTGTGTATTTTTAACATTAAATAGTTGGCACAAAATTTTTAAAGTACTTTTGCCTTAGTAATTCATTGTTCACTTCATACTGATTTCACTTTAAGACACTTTACTTGTTGAAAGTATCATAAGGAGTCTACATTACTCCATCAAGTAACTTGTTGTAACCAGTCTGTTCAGCCTGCACGTTTTAATGAAGAAATGTGTGTATTGGTATACAGAAACTTTAAGAAACAGGTACAATTTCTAAGTTATGCTGTGCTAAATAATTTAATTGGAAAGATTTTAGACATTGTTGTAAGACTTCCAGTGTAATCTTTATAATACCTTCCTGCTGTAGGGGGCTGTAAAATCCAAAGACAGTAACATTGGAATACAGAAAGTACTGTTTGGCTCGGTTTTGTCTAGCTTTTAAAAACTGTGTCCATGATTAACCCTTTGTGTGTAGTGGCATATGGTTTCAGTTCAGCCAAATAGAGAAGGCATTTACAATCACAAGTGTGAAAATTACTTCCCACTTCTGGGAGGGCAATTTTTAAATGTCAGACTTGCAAATCTAAGTGCAATATTTTTTCTCATTTTCAATCTAATTTACCCCAAAAGGGATGTTTACTGTTACATCCTGATTGGCTTTATATTAAGTAGAGTTTGTATTATTTGTTTCTAATGAAGATTTTTTGGTGTTCAGGGTGTCTCTTCACAGATTCTGTGGTCTGAAATTAACTGATTACTTTTAATGTAAATGTTGAGACATTTTTTAACCTAACTCTATTGATTTATGTTTTTCATTATATGAATTGACTTACCCTTATTTTTCATGAAAAGCTAGATCTACTTCCCTCAGTAATGGTCTGACCCCTCCATTCTTGGTCAGTGTTGTGGATGTAAGCCCATTTCTGTCTACAGCCATGTGAAGCATCATTATTGCTGGGGTTCATCCACTCTTACAGCAGCAGAATTTGGCACCATCACAAGGCAGATAAGCTGCAGGAGGAGGAGGAGGATGTGGTGTTACAGCCCATCCTCTGCAGCAGGTATTTCCAACCTTGTACCCATGGCAGGTACATACTCCGGAGGCAGTATGTGTCCAGACCTCTTTGTATCATAACAACTTTGCTGTACCCAGCTATTTGCTGGAACAAGAGTGCAAGTCAGATGTGGAGGCAGCATTTTCAGCTCAAATACCCATTTTTGTTATCAGAGAAATGGGAAACCCATCAGCTACACTGAATTTATAGCATACACTTGATATCATTGTGAGCGTAAGAAAAACATAAAATCAGTGAGAGATACTAAAAAGACTGTTCAGGTGAAGTTGTGTATTTATGATGTCCTTCTTCCTGATCTCCATGGTAAAGTTATTATAGGTTAATATGCATCACTTTTTAAAAACTGAATACTGTGTTTTCAGCATTATTTGTTTAAAAGAACACAATGGATAATATGTTTTGGATTACTAAAGTACTTAAACAGCTGTCAATCCGAAACGTATTGTGGCTTTTTTTCCTGCTCTGGGGAACAGCTTTGAGTTTGGGTATCTGCATTAGCAGAAGAACCTTGTTCTGTTCCAGAAATGTTTTATGTAAGGAGTTGGCCAGCTTTCATAATCTTGCAGTACTTAGTAGTGAAGATATTTACAGTGAAGATTCTACTAGAGCACTGCAGCTGCTTTTTTTGCTTTAAAGAGAAGGTGTTTTTGTAGTCATTGAGGAGTGTGTAAAATCCACTTAATGATAAAGCTTGAAATAGGGAAAAAAAAAAAAAGTTTTACTTGAAAAAAATGAGATTGCGCCAGCCATCACAGTAAGCATTTCTTTTCTTGACAATACTGCATGGAATACCTAGTTTTCAAACTTCTGCAGAAGTCAGCTAATGCTTCCACTGTACTCCTGTATCAAAATCCAATGAAAAAGCAAGACAGGTTCTTTTTATTTTTTTCCTGCTTGGCTGCAAAACACTGCCTATCTCTGCCTCTGATTCCCTTACTGCTGCTTCTTTGTTTGTAAGTTCAGCATATGTCAGTGTCATTTCCTCTTTTTCCCCATCCTACCCTCTTTCCTTCTTCTTATACCTTTTAGGTGTTCAGTATGTTTTTGGAGACACTGGTGGACTTCATCCAGGTCCATAAAGAAGATCTGCAGGACTGGCTATTTGTACTGCTGACTCAGCTATTGAAGAAAATGGGTGCTGATTTGCTTGGGTCTGTACAAGCAAAAGTTCAGAAGGCACTTGATGTCACAAGGTAATGAGTTTTGGGCAAAAAAACACACACAAAAAACCCAGCAACATAATAGATCATCACCTCATTTTATTTCCAAGGTGTTTTGTCTCTACGTATGTGCAAATACATGCAATGAGATTCTTGGAAAAATACAGACCTCACAACAGATCATGAAAACACTTAACTGCTTAAGTGTTCTGGTTTTCTAAATGTTTGAAGAGTTTTGATTCCTTGATGTTGAACAATTAATATGTTTTTACTCGCCAAATTTCAAAAGGTGAATTTGAGCCATGTATGTTATTGTTTTTAGTTATTTTTTTCTTCATTTTGATATCAAAATATTGTTGCAGTATTGTTAGAACGTCTCTTAAGGAGTTAGAAAGCAAATCTATTATTGCCATATCCTTCCTTCACTCTCCCCAAACAACTTTACATGGTTCTGGGAGCAGTCAACCAGCCAGCTTTGTTCCCAGATGAAGGCTAGATTTTTAAGTAGAATTGAGATCTTTAAGTAGAATTGGAAAAGTTCTGGAATCTTCTTCTCATCCTCTATTTTCTGAAGAATGGGACAAGCAAAACATTTTTTGCTGCAGCAGAAGCCCAGTAGGGTTATACCAGAGTGTGGAGTAGTGAAGAACAAAGGCAGGTAGAATGGACAGGATCGTTCAGAGAAATTTGTAGGAGTGTTGTGTATACTTTTGACAGTTGAAGTGCATAATAATTGTGGGATTTTTAGAATTGCATGTGTTTAGATTCAGAGTACTACAGTATAATTCGTTACTAGTTGCATTACATATATTTTAGGTTTAACTACTTCAGAATAGTGACTTGTTAAATTTTGTCCTCTATGAGCTAGGTGAATGTTTCTGGAAGTCACTGTCAACAAAATTGGTAGGCGTTTTTTTTCTTAATATAATAAAGAGTATAAAAGTTTAAAGTATAAAGTTTATAAAATAAAACGTGATGTGATTTATTTTACAGGGAATCTTTTCCAAATGATCTTCAGTTTAGTATTTTAATGAGATTTACTGTTGACCAGACCCAAACACCTAGTTTGAAGGTAAGGAATTTTCAGGCTTACATAATAAACAGAATCATAATTCATAGACATTTGATTGTCTTACTTACCTTTGGATTGTTATTTTTATTTTCTTTTGTTCTACAAAAAAATAGATTTTCAATTAGTGGATTTTGTTTTTGTAAACTTTCAGACAGTCAAGCCAGCACTGCAGGACCAGCTTCGCTCTTTTTGGAGCTCAAAGGTTTTTGTCTGAATTATTGTCTTTATTCTTAACCCTATGTCAAAACTCTTACAGTGTTTCCAATCCTTTTTTTTTTTTTGAATGCATTCATATGCTGCTACTAACCTTTGCGAGAAACTTTAAGCATGCAGATGTTCAACTTTAAACATTACACTACTATGGAAATGTTTGCTGCAAGTGAGATCTAATAAAACCACAGTACAGTAAAAATGAGCAAGAAAAATGTGGCCGCCTAACATCAAGCCTGTTATGCAAACTCACTCTATCAAGTCTTCTAATTTTATGTTTGTGATTTCCCAATATTGTTTTCCTAGTTCATGTACAAGTTTTCATGTGCTTAGCCTGTTAGGTCTTCAATTCATTTAAGATATTTTAATATTAACTTTTTTCATTAAAAACAAGCTCCCTTTATAGTACCCTTAGTTTTTTGAAAGCTGTGTGTAGATTTGTATGTACACACATTTTTATGTATTAAAAATCTCTACCCATAGACTTGAAAACGGGGGTTGAAAAAAAAAAAACCCAACCCGAATCCTGTAGTACGTTTACATTTTCAAATGATTTTATGATAAATGCATCAAATCTGAAGATTTACCAGTGAGATAAATGGGGAAATAACAAGCATATAGCTGGCATTTTCTGCTCTATTCTGCACGAACTATTATTGCGCCATTTGATACTGCACAAGAATATGTTTTTTTCCAAGTCGTGTTGAACCTAAAGTCACCTGAATATGCCTTTTTTGTCTACAATACAGTAAAACTTACATTTTTAAGCTTTTGAGGACAGTTGATACGTTGACCACTGTTGCTTCGTAGAGCTGTGTTAAAAAGGGACTGCTGTCATTTATTGAAGACAGCAAATGAGGTAGTAAAAATCAGTTTGTTGTTTAAATAAATCCTTGGAACAAATTGGACTTGGTTTTATTTTACTTGGTTTTCCTCACCAGAAAGGTGAATTTGGTGATTGAGCTATTCTTTTTGGGACACCTAATTATCTAACTGCTAAATAGAAGGTGAGTTTTTTCAGAAAGAAGTGGTGCCTGCCCCCCATCTTCCATCTTTGCTAGATTATTACAACTTCAAATCAAAGCAGTGAAGTTACTGAACTTAAATTGCAAAATTATTTGTCTAATATCCACTCTGAATGTTTTGCCAAAATTCCATCCTCAGAGCACCCAGATATCTGAGATTAACTGAAAAATCTTAAAGTACTGCTCTATTTCTTGGGATCTTCAGCTTTTGTTTTTTCTCTGAAAAAAGAGAGAGTTTTGGCTCAGGATGTGATAAAATTAGAGATAGGCTTCCATTGAAAGATTCCTTCCTTCATATGATGCTTCTTTCTTGTTTTTATGTGGAAATTCTACCAATCATGATCCTTCAGATTAAACTGTCGTTGTCATCATTTAACATTTACACACACCTAAGCCTTGGAAAATAAATTCAAGCTTTTTGAATGACTACAGGAGGTGGATTAAAAGCTGAACAAACAGAGAAATGATGTTATTCTACTGGTGTAGAGTATACACAGTGCTGTATTGTGTCCTGTCTTACTCATTTGCATTAAAGAAACTTGTAGCTGAACTGCTGAAATACAGTTTACAGATGTCAGGTGCACGTATCTGTCTTGGACAAATTTATGCATGGGCATAGTAGTCACATGTAATAGACAAAGTATAATGTAATAAGCTTATTATTTTGCAGGTGCAGAACTTATGTTTTCTTATGGACAAGTGTTGTCCTGGAAAATACTTCAAAGCATCACTTTCATTTTTCTCAGGCTGAATTTGTGATGGCTTACATACAGAGAGGAACTGTTAATAAACATTTTGGCCAAAGCTCATTAGAAATTTCTGAATTATTCTTTCCTTTGAAAATATGAATGTCTTGAAATAAAAAGTGTTTTTGCTACAGTTGATTTTTTTTTTCCCCTCTAAATTCATATTAAATTTTCTGGATTAAAAAACCAAAAAGATAAAAACACAGCACATTCATGAGGATAAGAGAGTCCTTTAAAAGTCAGTCGTTACAGTTATTGTAGTCATTTGGTTAAAGCAAGACAGAGATGGTGTCAAGATAACCCAGGTGTTAGGACAGTACCAGGGATGTGGCAAGCTGGAAAACACTGTGACTGCATTTCACCTGAGGCAGGTCAGTCTGAGTAAGGCAGAGTTCAGTCTCTTCCATCCTAGGAGAGTGCTGTAAGAGATGGACATTTGTCTATTTTAAGTAAAGTATTCTCTACATTCCTCTCTACTCTTTCCTATCAGGTGTAACATTTCTGTGACTTATCTTTGTGGAGAAAATGAGACTCAGTAAATCTAAATTGTTTCACAGGACAGGAAAACAATTAGCCTTCTGACACTGTGTAGCATCCTTACAGCATTTCCTGAATCTTTGTGGAGATGAGTTGCACAGAATATTTTTGTGCCAAAACTTATCTGTGAAAGATGTTTATGGAAACACTTTGGTTTCATTTATCTAGTTTTTGTGTGCTACCTGAAGCTTGCTTTATATTTCAGCTCACTTAGTATAACTGTGCTATTCTTTAAGTGTCTGTGTTTGTATACTGTGTAGGAAAAATATTCACTGTCTCAGTGCTTGTAGTCCAGCTAGATGCAATAAATTCAGCCTACAGCTTGCAAGTAAAGTCATGGCAGTATTAAACAGCTTCAGAGACAGTGGTTTGAGATAAACAGCAAATAGTAATTTTAAGAATTCCTGCAGCTGCTTTCATTGCACTTAAAAATCATTTCTCCCAGGTCTTGTAGAGATAAATTGGATTGTTAAACCTTAAACCTTTTATTTCTACTCTCACTTGTTTGTAGTAGTAGTGACTAAAATGCATCATAAGTAGATGTGCTGCTGTTTCAGAGTTTAATTTAGGGTGTTTTATATCAGTAATACGCACATCTCATTATAGGGATTTTTGTGTTTCCCCTCTATTTGAAAGAATCTTGCCAGTATGTTTTATGAAAACATACCAAGTATGTTGGTATTGATCTGCCTAAGCTGAAAACCTCTAGCTGTTGGTTGTTGTGTAACCTCGAAAAAGTCCAACTTTAATAGCTGCTGTGAAAATGAAGTGTTAATTATTAATGTATCAGCTATCAGTAATGTGCATGTCATTTAGTGTTGTATCATGTATGTTAACAGCTTGGAAGTTTTGATGACCAGTGGAAGTTGCTAATTAGTTTTGTTCAGAGCACTACGAGTCATATACAATTGAAATTATGCCTGGAGCTTGCTTTCTTTCTGCTTATGAGGAGCATTTGTTTCTCCCTCCTGATAACAGCTTTTGTTTCCACTGAGCCAGAAATATCTAAGTTGAAAAGGTTGCATAAATGAATGTTAGCCACTTTTTTTGATGGGTTGAATGACAGTTATCTCTGGGGCAGCAGGAAATGAGCAGAGAATGTTTAAGGGAGTTACAGGCATAGCACCCCTTCTACTAAAGCTGGCAGTGATGCAGTTTTGAAGAAACTAAAGAGAGGTTGCAGTTGGGACAATTAAAACTGTAATTCTGCATAAGGGGAGTCAGTAAATTCAGAGAACGATGTCTGGGCAGTTGAAAGCCTATAACAGCTCTTCTGTCCTGGTAAACTCATGTCTGTCTCCTTAATATCTTCAAAGGAAAACTGTTTATGTGTCAAGGTCTTTTGTAGAAACTATTCCTTACCTTTTAATTTTCAGTCAGAAGATTCATAGAGCTTATCCCTAGCTGAGCACTGGTTTTCATAAAAGGATACTGAGTATTAACTACGTCATATTCTAACTTAACCTGATTATTGGTTTATCAGATTATGTCCTTTTTTTGTTGTAGTATTTGAAAGAAGTTCTCAATAGTTTTGAATGTGCACAAATCTTTTGAGTGCTTTCATTTTCTATTTGTTAAATGATGGTTATCCTTTGGCCACTACCAGTGAGATCTGAAATTTCTATTAATACAGTTTCTGCAGAACTTCCTTCTTGAAATAATGTACCTCTCTGTAAATTAATTTGCTGCTTGAAATTTTATGCCAGCGCTGAAAAGACGTTTAGGATAATTAAATAAGTATTTTAGAGAATGTGCACTGTGTTCTGTAAGCACTTTCATTCTTGTCACACAGTTTTTATTATCCAGCTAACTCTATTTCTCTTTACAGGTAAAAGTTGCAATTCTTAAATACATAGAGACTCTTGCACAACAGATGGATCCAGGGGATTTTGTAAATTCAAGTGAAACTAGGTTAGCAGTGTCTCGAATCATCACCTGGACCACAGAACCTAAAAGCTCAGATGTTAGGAAGGTATGTTTGTTAATGTGCACTTACAGTATATTCCAAGTGTCTTGGGCAGATTAAAAAAGCTATTAATAATTCATGCCTAAATAGAAAAAAAGTTTATTTTTCTTTAAAAACAATTTTATTGTTTCGTGGAGAAAATATACTTTTATGTCCTTCTGAACAAATACAACTAAGAGTTGTGTCTAAAATATCAAAATTGCCAAAGTAAAACTGCCAGAAAGTACATGTTTGGGAACAGTTCAGTAAAATTTAAAATCTTGAATCACCACATTATGGTTGTATTTCACATCTGTTAATATATAGATATCATATTTCATAGAACAGGGATTAACTTTTGTTTCAAGCACTCTCTGGTATTAAGATATTTTCTGTAGACATTTTCTGTAAGTTTCAGTATTACTTCCAAAACAGTCTGTAATAGTAATAGCACGTTCACAGTAGGAATGGTGACTATGATAGTGAAGTAACTTCAGCCTTGGTTTGTTTTTTTGTGAAACACAAAAGACTGGTAAGCAATATTGTGTTCAGCCTTTGATGTTTATAAATGAGGTTGTATCAAAGAATTGTTCTTGTAATGCTACAGTTCCAGTGCAAAAGTCCCCTTTCCACATAACTCTTGTAAAGCCAAATTAATACTTGTAGGCATTCAGAACAAGGATAAAAAAAAAACCATGAGAAATTTACTAATGCAGCCTTCAGAAAAGGACTAGATAATTCTATAGATGGAATAGATTTATTTGTTGTTTTTCTCATTGTCAGCATTCATCCTGTCTTCTGCCTTTATCGGTATGTTAACACTTCTTGAATGTTAAATAGAAATATTTTGTTTATTGCTCATAAAACAGAATCTTGTTTGACATAGACCTATAACTCTTCTGTTCATTTTTCCCTGTTTATTTCTGCAGTTGAAATAAAAAACAATTTATTTGTTTAGATTTCCTTAGCTAGATTCAGTTCAGCTTGAGTTTTGGCAACTTTGTTTCTGGAATCATTATCAAAGCTTCCTTCAGAAGGGATGCTTTGTGGGAGTGAATAGATAGAAAAAGATGGAGAGCTATCTCACAGTGTATAATGCAAAAGAAAATAAAAGTAACTTTTACCACTTCTTGATACCTTGGTTGTTTATAATAATTCACCATAGCAAAATTTATAATGCAGATAACTTTTTTTTTACCTTCACTTCTAATATAACTTTCAGCATGAGAAAGCAGTAACAGATTATATCCTTTGGACTTGTCTCACCTAGTTACCATGTTCTAGTGACATGCATAAGACCATAAAACAGAAAGGGAACTGAAGCAGCACTATCTTCTAAATCAGTAAAGTTTTAGTACTGAGACACGTGGCAAGCTGTCTTATCTGATGGTTCATATCTTTAATAACCATTTTGATGTCAATAAGTAACTGAATCATGGAAAGAATGGGCTTTGAGTTTTATCATCTGGAACACTTTAATTATATGAAGCTTTCTCAGTTTATATTTTCTTTCCATAACAGACTTGTTAGGGGTTGCTAACTCCCAAAAGCCTTTACTAAGTTTTGAAATAAAATTTTGACAGTAAATAGTCAAAACAAAGTTATTCTGGTCCTTTAAAATGTTTCATTCTGTTGACAGACTTGAAAATGTTAGCATGGTTATTTTAATCTTTCTGAACTTTTTTTTAAAGATGATAGTACTATTAACATCTTATATGCTTTCTTTAAATTAAGACTTTGTTTACCACCTGTTTTTCTGTGCGATTTTGCTTTTCTCTAAAACACAAAACAAAAAACACTTCAAGTAGATTAAAAATCTTTTTGTTTTTAATACTAGTATTAAGATGGGCACAATTAATGTACTTTATTTAGGGACTTCAGTTTGGAGTGTAAAATTCCAAGTTCCTCTACAATTAAAGCTCTTCTGAGAAGAATTAAAATCTTAGAGTTCTTCTAAGTTAGAATGATACAAAACGTACTTCTCATTTTTACTCCTTTTAAAATGTGATATGAGTGACTGGATGTGAAAATCTCAGGAGAGCAAGCTTTGACTTGAAGGGGAAAAAAAGACAAATACTCTAAAATGCCTTTTTTCTTTTTTTCCCCTTTTTCTTTCTTTCTCTCTCTCTCTCTTTTATTAATAAGGAAGAAGGAAAATAGATGGCTCCTTAATGAAACCCTTCTGTGAGTTAGTTTCCATTTTGATACTTCAGGTTGAGCTTCTAGGCAAACCTGATGGTTATCAGTTTCTTTCCTGATATGACTGTAGACTGTCTATTTTGTTATATATATGTTTTGTTATTATTGTTGGCAGCTTAAGTAGACATGCAGTAAGGCAGCAAAGATGTGGATAACAGGACAGAGAAAAGAAAGTGGTACTTTCCAAACCTTTCTTCAGTTGGAGCTTTTGTTTTGGTTTTGTATATATCAACTTATGTTAAAAGACTGACTTAAAGAAATAATGAGGGAAAAATGGAGCACCAAAAACAGGTTGTAGAGGGCATTCAGGCTGTTCACTTGAAGACTGTTCAGGGAGGAGGAAATAAAAGTATAAGAAAACAGCTGATCACGAGTGTGCAAAGATAGTTTGTGGCATTCTAACATGCTAGAATTTTCATCATTAAATTTAATACTAAGACGTGTGCTGGTATGTGCGTTCATAGCTTGGCTTTCCACTTCTAATTAAAAAGTGCTACACTTCATTGCTCTTGAAGCAAAGGAGGGAAATAAATGTCTAAAAGAATTTCTAAACTACTTGCTTGAAGTATTTTTGGTGCTGAACCAAGCTGCCTGTCATTCTGGCTAGCATGAGGCACTGGTTTTCTCCAGTGCGTGGCAGACCTTGATGGTGTGTCACTTCAATTGAAACTAGATAAAGTTGGTTAATCTCGGAACCAGAATTTCATACTATAAAAAACTGTTTAAAACTTAATAATCACTAGCTTTTCATTGCATGTGATAAGTTATTTGCAGTGTTGACAGTTTTGTTAGCCTGTCCAGTGAATATTCATCAAACAAAGTCATGCAGTCAACATTTCTTTAGCAGAGGGGAACTCAGCTAGCATCCCGTCATTCTGTAACACACTGTAGTGCTTTATTAGTATTTATTTACCTCTTGGCTGAGGTAAATAAATAAAATATGTGTATAAAAGCTCTAGGATGAGGATGCTGTTAAATATGAAATGCTAAAATTGGAGGGTGTGGAAGGTGTAATCCAGTACACTACAAACTCCAGTACACTACTCCAGTACGTAAGTTTTCATCTTTGAAATGTATAGCAGTAAGAAGGTAGTGCCGAAAACAATATCTCCTGTTCCTGGCCCACAGTGTCAGAGGGCAGAGGTTGGTGGTATGGCAGTAGGGGTTGAACCTTCCCACCAACACCCTGTTACATTTTGTTGCTGTGCGACAGATGGCAGCAGAGGGGCAGTCTGATCAAATGGCGTCTGGTATGGAAGTACATCTGAAGCAAAGGTGTGGAATTAAATTGTTCCATGCAGAAAAAAATGCTCCTGTTGACATTCATTGATACTTGCTGAACATTTCTTGACACCAAATAGTGGATGTGAGCAGAGTGAGGCAGTAGGTGCTGCGTTTCTGCAGTGGTGACAGCAATGTGAAAGACAAATCATGTTCTGGATGGCCACACACAGCTGTCATACCACACAATGAAGATCATTGAAGATCTTGTTCAGTTCATCCATGTGAAATGGCAGATTACAACCAGTGGTCTGTGTATGGAGATGAATATTGGCTTCAGTGTGCTGGAAAAAATGGTGGCTATGTTGAAATATCATAGTGTTTGAGCCAGGTGAGTCCCACAGCTATTCACACAGGAACAGAAAGAATGCTACATACAATTTTGTTGTGACCTGTTGAACCAATACAAGGCTGAAAGTGAAAATTTCCTGGATCGCATCATTGGGGATGAAGAGACGTCATGTAACCACTACAGTCCAGAGTAAAAAGGGCAGTCTTTGACATGGAGACATGTGAATTTCCTATCAAAGAAAAAGTTCAGGACAGAGCCCTCAGTAGGTAAGAACATGTGCAATGTCTTTTGAAATAGGAAAGAGGTGATCCCTCTCGATTTCCTGGAACCCAAACAAACCATCAACTTTGGCTGCTGCATCACGACACTAAGCTGAAGGCTTGAATTTCCACAGCCCATCGAGAGGAGAAGAGAACCTTTCTCTTGCAACACAATAACACCAGGCCTCATACCAGTTTGAAGAGCGTAGAGCACATTGCCAATCTTGGCTGGACTGTCATGCCATACCCACAGGATACTCTGGATTTGGTGCCTCCTGATTTCCATGTGTCTGGGATGATGAAAAATGGACTGCATGGGCAACAGTTTTCTGGCAACAGTGCTGTCATAGCAGCTGTGAGATAGTCATCTCCACTGGTGCAGTTTTTTTTGAGTGTGGCATGCAGGTTCTTATTCACAGCTGATAAAAATGCATAGCTACTGTGTTGAAAAAAAATATTTTATAGCTGAGAATTTGTTCTATTAAGTAGTGTTACTTTGCTCTTTGTATTTGTTGAAGTTTCCACGGAAATAAATAGGAGCCATTACTCATGGAGTAGCCTGCATCATCATGGTGCTTGAAAGCTAGTCTGTTGATATTGTGTCTTACCACTTGTGGAATTCAGGAGAAGGGATTACAAACTTATTCCTATTTGGTGCGTTCAATTTTTCCTTTTTAAAATTTGCTCAACTTGCCAAAACCTGTAGAAGCCATTTTAATACTTCCTTCACTCCTTTTAGTAAACAGAGTTCTGAGGAGGGAGGGCTGAGGATCATCTATCTGAAAGACTGCTTATTAGGATGATTCTGAAAGGTGTAAGCTCACTGTTGTGTGCCTGAATTTATGAATATCTGAACCTCGATTTTAGCAGTACATATGAACTGCATTAATTTATAACTGCTAATATCTTTATTTAAGTTAACTTAATACATATATCACCTTTTATGACTACCTGTCATTGTAGCAACTCAACAGTGATTTTAATCTGTTTTTCCTTCTAGGCTGCACAGTCAGTACTCATTTCTCTTTTTGAACTTAATACTCCTGAGTTTACAATGCTGCTGGGTGCTTTACCAAAAACATTTCAGGATGGAGCCACAAAGCTTCTTCATAATCATCTCCGTAATACAGGCAACAGTGGTCAGGTATCTACACTTCCATATTATTATTTCTGAATTTACTGGTGTTTTGGACATAAGTCCATTTTATTAGAGTTGTGTGAGAGTGAGAAAATCAGTGGGGTCATCCAGGCTCCTCATGAAGTCTTATTAGCAGGTACCACTCTATATGGAATGCTTTTTATTTTCCTGCAAATATGTATTTATGTGTATGTGGCTTCCAAGTAAGTGATTTACTAAGTTTGAATGGACTTGTTAAGAGTAGTATTTATTATCTCTTACATTAATTTTTTCAGAGTTACACATTTGAAATTAATGTCATTGGTTAGAGAATCCAAGAAATTAAATAGCATTTCTTTAAATTTTTCTGGGTGCTAGAAAATAAAAACAAAAATCAAGTAAAGGGAAAGCCATGGACTAGCTATAGTATCTCTTTTCATCTCTCCTCTACCAGGGTTCAATGGGAAGTCCTTTGACAAGACCTACTCCACGCTCCCCAGCAAGCTGGTCAAGTCCTCTCACTTCCCCAACCAATACATCGCAGAACACTTTGTCACCAAGGTAGTGTTGGCCAGTGTTACAGTTCTGCATCTAAGCCTTCATTAAACATGTTCTCCAAAATAGTAAACTAGGCTGTGAACAAATGGAGTGCGTTTTGCAGTCACAAATGCTGAAAAATAATCCGCCTTCCTCTACAGGATGATGTAATACTGAAGTGCTCCACCTCTCTGAATGGTCTAATAGGAGCCAGGGCTGCCCTAACGTGTGCACCTCAGAGTGCAAGTGGCATAGTAGGAGATGGAAAAGAAGCCTTCATCCCCAGCAAATGTTAAAACAGCTTAAGTCATCCAGCCAAAATTAATTTGGGGTGGATAAGAATAGTTCATAAATGTTCTTACCTTCTTTGATGGCATCAGAGTTGTCAGCGAAGTGGATTTTGTAACTTTGCTTTTAGCAGTCAATCAATACGTTGATCAGATCCCCTTACCCTGGAAATTTTTCTTACAGAGGGAGAATGGTGTAAAATTCTCTTAGAAGAGTAAAACAGCAGAAGTTGTACTTGAGTCAGATGCAGCCTTCTTGGCCAGCCACTGGCAGTGCTTAATTTTATTACTGTTTCCAGGGTGTCTGTACTTCCATGTTAATGTTATTTAAAAATATGGGATCAGAAAATAAATCCACCTTAATTTATATGTCCTTTTCCATGGCCCACAGTGCATTTGATTATGATACAGAAAATATGAATTCCGAAGATATTTACAGTTCTCTTCGTGGAGTCACTGAAGCTATTCAGAACTTCAGTTTCCGCAGTCAAGAAGATATGAATGAACCTGTGAAACGGGATTCAAAAAAAGATGATGTTGATTCAGTGAGTAAACTTGGTGCATCTTGCTATTGGCAAATCAAGCCAATATCTGACTTACTATTAAAGATAAAACATCTTTGTAAGTAGGTTTATCTGTTCTGCTTTCTGCAGTGGGACATATATGCTAACTTCAGAGCTTAAAAAAACAAAGCATAACAGTTCCCAGCATTCAAAATGCATTTTGGAACTGTAAATGCTAATTTTAAGTGGTATTAGCTTTTTATTTATTTTAAATATAAGTAATTTTAAAAATTCTATCTCGCAGAACAAGGAGTTTAATTTTTGAGAGATCTGTACACTGTTTTTTTTGTTTGTTTTTTTTAAGTTTAATTCCATACAAAACCCAGAGGTTTTTCAGTGGTGAATACATTGTACTAAACTTCTGTTTCTGTCGAACTTCGACTTTCAGATCTGCTGAACTTGCCCAACTTGTGTATGCTTAAACAGAAATTGTACAAACACCTTTTTTTTTGTTTATTTGTTTTAAGTTCAGGGTGCTGTAGCAAAGTCTAATTACCTGAAAGCCAGCTTAATGTATCTTCAGGAATGCTTAGGAAACTTTCAAATCTTTAGCAGTTTTTGATACTTACATGAGTGTGTGAAGTAGTTATTTGAAAAGTGTGTGTTATACATCAATCTGTGGTATTTCTCTTCCTGTAGATTGGCAGTGCTTCTGGAATAGCAGACCTACGAGCAGGAGGTGGTGTGAGTGAGACAGGCCGAACAGCCCTTGATAACAAAACATCATTACTCAACACAATGCCTCCTCACTCTTCACCACGCTCACGAGATTATAACCCATACAATTATTCTGATAGTTCATTTAATAAATCTGCTTTGAAGGAAGCCGTGTTTGATGATGACGCAGAGCAATTTCCTGATGGTAAGCTTCAGATTGCATTCTGTTCTAGTAGGGAAATTTTGACATTTTTCACCTTTTAGTTCAGTTTCTGAATTAAACATTAGCACTATATGTATCAATGGTACCATTTCCTTAAGAGGTTTTACATAATATATTTTAAACTAGTTTATTTATCAGTAATCCTTCTGACTGACACTGTTGGATTGTTTGATGTTTATATAGATTGAGGGTGGGTGGGAAATTGAATTGTATTGTATTCTTCTGGTATTGTTTCAATAGCAGGATTGTCAATATAAAGTTTACTTACCACACTACTCTATGGTTGAGATTTAAAAAAAAACATTTACAACGAGTAAAACTGGATTAAACCAGTTCAGGAATTAGGTGAAAGATGAAGTATTTTGTTAGTGAAATATTTGTATGTGAAACATGACGTTGGTATTTTATATTGACTAAACAGGCTTTTGCAAGGGGAAAAAATGCTTTTACTCAGAAAGTGAATCTATTAGCTCATTTATCTGTAGGAATTTGGGTTGTTGTTTTGTAGGCTTTTTCCTGGGAAATTTCTTACACATCGTCACGTGCACTCTGTTCTTCCAGCAAAATGTGTTGTCAGATTAATTATTTTATTCAGCAATCTTTTTATTCATTTTCTTTACCTACCTACTTTTTGGATCTATTGGTGCATAGTAGCAATTATTCAGAAGAGACATATCTTGTCTTTTTTGAATATGAGTGTATAGCAAAATATAGTTTGATGCAAAATAGATATATAGATATATAGATGTATATATAAATATATCAGTTGGGGTGTTTTTGGTTTGTTTTTGGGTTTTTTTTTTCAAGGTTTGGTTCTGAATATCACTGTGATAGTCTCATCTCTTTTGTGTGTAAAATCTATATTTTTCAACTTATCATGTGTTTATTTGCTACTAACTGCTGGTATCTGCTGAAAATCTTGAATTTTTCTTCCTCTTCCCAAAGTTAGCTTTAATTTTTAAGTCACTTCTCCTTAGAAGCAGCCTCTGTTTGGAATCCAGTGCTCCTTTGCAAAGAAGCTCCTTTCTTTCATCTCACTTCCATAGATTGTGCTTTGCAAATGTCTGCTTTTTTAACTAGCACTTTGTATATGGGCTTAAGAATTCACTTCTTTGTCTTGCCTTTAACTTACTGTTATTAATTTTCATCTTTTTTTCTTTCAGACCATTCCTTATTTATCAAGTTAATTATCATTTCTTCTCTCTTTCATTGTTTTTAAAATGAAATAATTTGTAGATTTTAAAAGTAGTCTCCATATTCCATGAAAAACATGAATAAAAGCATCAAACAGAACCAGGCCGTGCACTGGCCTGAGCAGGGACATCCCTGGTATCCTCTCAGATTAATAGAAAGCAATTTAGAATCCAGTCATTTTGCAGGTGTTTCATTCAGGCTTTGCCCCCGCCTCGTTGACTTGCTTGGCATGTTTCAGGCAGTAGGCAAATCTTTATTGTATTCAGAACGTGCCAGCATTTCCTTCTGAATGCCAGCACTGCATATCGTGTCAAAATGATATTATTTGGTAGTTTGAGAAGAGCTGTTCTTTATCAAATATTTGTATATATATAATATTTTATATGTGCCTGCCACATATTTTAGTTCATTCAGATGAAGCACTTGCATTTGCTACTACTCATTTCTGTTGTTGTTTTCAGGGGGGAAAAAAAGTTGCAAGTAGACTTTTACACTTCTTTCTTATCTGGAGAATGTTTGGCAATTAAACACCACAGCTAAATCATACACAGGAATGGAAAATACAAACTGTGAAGGAATATGCCCCATATCTTGGCCTTATGTTTTTAAGAATTGTAGTCTCTCAGTATGTGACCTAATAAATTTATTCTAAAAAAGGTATTTCATCTGTTAATAAAGTGCAATAATTTGGGGAAAGGTGCAGTTCTAGGAAAACTTGGTTTTTAATGCTGTTCTTTACCCCTTGAAAGAAAACTTTCAGCCTCTGTCCAGGGGAATTAAAAAAAAAAAAAAAAAGTTTGTTAATTTATTCCAAAGTCTTGGTGCAAAGGTAGAAGCTATCTGCTTTTCTTTCTTGAAGGCTAAAAGGGTCTTGATGATGGAGTAAAGGCAGTACCTTGATGTTCCATTTAATTTAGACCAGAATCAAGGCTTTTATTTTTGACTTTATAGATTTCCACGTCTGTAATCCAGTGTTTCCAAATAAGAATTGCTACTGATACTTTTCTCCATCATCATGGAATTTTCTGTAATCAAAACTGAAGTCCAGTGCTATCTTATAATGACTGTCACTGGGATGGTAGGCATTCCCTGCAATCTCTGTGAGGCTAAAAGCCTTAGTTTGTTTGTATTTCCACTATTTTACATCAAGCACCATCTTGTGCATTTTTTTTTCCTGTTTGTGTTAAAAGCTTAGCCATTGATGTGGAATCGTGGCTTAGAAAAGTCTGAACAGTACAGTAATACTGAAGGTGAAAATGTGAATTCTTCTTCTTCGATGGAAGGGTCATATGGGAAAAGCAGCCCTTTGTGTATAGATCAGATTGAAGAGGATTCAGGGAACCTGGCACTTTGTGTATTACAGGAGTAAGAAACTCGAGCAGTAAACCAGGTTACAGGTTGCTGGATTCTCTTCAATTTTGTGGATGCTTTTGTTTTTTGCTGTATTATTGTTGTTTTAGTGTGATCATAAGCTTGGTCAGGAATATTGGCTGCTTTGAAAATGAAGTAATTAAATTGTAATTATGGCAAGCAGACCTGGAGGGAAAAAAAAAAGGTAGAAAGCAGTTAGCTATCCTAGAAGATACTTTTCAGTTCTGCATCAGGCACTAATATTTACTTCCAAGTTTCAAAATTCTGTTTGTATACATTCCTTTTTTGATAGAGCCTCCCATGGATCATTCTGATCTAGTTGCAGAGTTACTAAAAGAGTTATCAAACCATAACGAGAGAGTTGAGGAAAGAAAGGCTGCCTTGTATGAGCTCATGAAGTTAACTCAAGAAGAGTCTTTTGGTGTTTGGGATGAGCACTTCAAAACAATACTGCTTTTGCTGCTTGAAACACTTGGAGACAAAGAGGTAAAGTTAGATTAATCTAGTTAAAAATGTTAACAAAGTGCATGGTTTGCATGGTTGTAGGAAAAGCACAAATTCCAGCTAGTCTTGAAAAGCAAGAAATTATGGAAATGCAAGAACATCATGTGAACTCTTGAATCTCTTAACGGTGAAAAGGCCATCTTCTCAAGTATCCTTCAGGTTTTTTTTGCACTAATAACTGCTTTTGATTTGATAATAATAACGTCTGTTTTCAAGGATAATGTATTTGTGTGACTGTGTGATGCTAAAATACTCCAAAGAGTAAAACTGTATGCAGCTTAGCATAGACAGTTCCAATTAGCAGCATATTTATGATGCACCAACTGAATTATTTTGAGAAGAGCAAACAACTGAAGAGTTTTTTTAGCTGTATTTATTTCCATATTAGTTTCATATTGTATATATGCATAGAAAAGCATTGATGTTTTACTATTATCAAAACTTTATGAACTGTTGAATAAATATTAAACATTTGCCTATTCAATGTTACATAACTCATTTGTTTTAATAATTAATCTCTAGCATGCAATTAGAGCTTTGGCATTGAAAGTTCTAAGAGAAATCCTAAGAAATCAGCCAGCAAGGTTTAAGAATTACGCAGAGCTCACAATAATGAAGACATTAGAAGCGCATAAGGATCCTCATAAGGAGGTTAGTAATCAGTTTTCTTTATTTGAGGTTGTGACAGAATATTACAAAATGCAGCAGCTGTCTTATGTCCAGAAAGTGTTTGAGAAATCAGATTTTACTGATGAAGTCATTTGTGTAATAATGAAGATGTTAACATAGCTATGCAAAAAAATAAAAATGAACTACAGTTTTGTAAGCTCTGAAATGCTTAACATCAGCCCTAATAACAGTTGCCTTGGGTGCTGCCCAAGAGGACATAACACCATAGCCAAGGATGTGCCAGCAGGTCTCTATGAAGAATAACTGAAGGGAGTTATTTGTTATATGCCTTTTTAAGCCCAGTTACCTAATACAACCCTTTGGATTTCTGTCAGGTTGGTTGTTGAGAGATAGGATTGAACGTGGCAAGGACATTATAATCCCTTCCCATTTTTAACCAGCTCTGGTTAAGCTATTCTTTTTCACCATTCAAGAGCATGGCTTTGAGTGTTTTTAGGAGAGAAAGCACAGGAAGATACTGCAGGGAAGAGTTGGTTGTGGCTGAGAACAGTGAGAAGATTCAGAAGTAGAAGGATAAGTGTAATCTTGCTCAGAAAGCTTATGATATGTGCATACACATCAAAGGATGATGTATTTTGATATAAGAAACACACATACAGAAACCACCCAAACATTGAACAGTTCACATCAGTGTGACTGATGTTATGAAAATAAGATGTCTAATGAGATGGATAAATCTCCTCCCTCCCTTTCCTATGCCCCCACACTCCCAATGATAGGACTTTTTCTGTATATGGGACTTGATGTGGAGTTCTAAGTTCAGAAGTTTGACTGCAGTTTTTTCCATACCGGTGATGTTTGTCACTCACCTGATACTCATCTTTGTTTTCCCTGTGCCCTCTTAATTTCATGCACCATGTTTATTTTTTTCTTTCTTTCCATTTTTCCCTCCATATTACTGTTCCATTTCTCCTTTTTTTTTTTTTTCTTAATGCATGTGAGAAAGAGTAAATAAGACAAGGTTGAAGAGAAAGACTTCTGGAGTTTTTTGTACATAATCTAGCAGCTTGTCTTGTTAGCTGCCAGACACCACAGATGCAGAAATATGAAGAGATGAATTTTCCCTCTTATATCTGTGCTGTATCCTGAGCTGAGCTTCTGCACCTTTTGACTAATTGTTTTACTGTATCTTCCAGTCTTAAGAACTCTTAACTAAATTTTTTTAAAAATTAAAGATGGAGGAAGCCTCCAGAAGTAGCAATCTATGATCGTCATTAAACAGTTTTTGAGATGAACGTGGAAGCTTATCAATGGTCAAAGACAATAATGAATGACAACACAGGAAATTATAGATTTCAGTAGTGGAGAGATTTCAATATGTAATTGCATAATATTGTATTTATATTCTGCATAGCATTGTAGACTAGAGAGATTTCAGATATGATTCGACAGATATTGTCAAGTTTGGAAGGTATTTTCAGGCAGGTTTGGAAGACACCAGTACACATCTTGCAGAGCATATAGCTCAGTCATACAGTGTTGAGTGTTTTTAGTACAGTAGTCCAACAGTTGCAAAATTTCACACATTTAAAAATCCTTTACCTATTTTTACAATGCTGTGGAGCTGTTAAGAAATTTTTATGCTCAAGACTTTACCAGCACTAATACTTTTATAAATAATTCTTCCATGTCTCATTCTTTCAATAGGTGGTGAGATCTGCTGAAGAAGCTGCTTCCATGCTGGCCACTTCCATTAGCCCAGATCAGTGCATCAAAGTCCTTTGTCCAATTATCCAGACTGCAGATTACCCAATTAATCTGGCTGCAATCAAAATGCAGACAAAAGTCATAGAGAGAGTATCTAAAGAAACTCTTACTCAGCTTTTACCAGAGATTGTGCCAGGTTTAATACAGGTAAAAACAAAGCAAAAAAAAGCACCTTCTTTTTTATGTAAGAATGACAAAGATTTTTTCAAAATACTATTGCTTGGCTCTCATAAGGGATTTTTATTGGTCTTACAGCTGATGGCTACTTTGACCCAAACTAACTCAGATAGTGGGTGCACTGTCTTTCATTGTCACCTGGCTAAACTATAACTATGGTTAGGACTCAGGATCTGGCTAGGACATGAAGTATTGGCTGTAGTTAAGTTTAATAGACTCTTTCGGTTATATGTAGTATCTTTTCCAAGTTAGGACCATTTGGTCTGAAATCATTCACGTTGAATGTATGTATTATTGCAGGGTTTTATCACTTGGGGCTTGGGGGAAGCAAGAGGAAGGAAGCAGTTGATTGGGGAAAGTTCAATAAAATTAAGAGGTTATAAAAAGTTTCTTTCTCTATCTGTAAAAATGAATAATCTGCCACCATATAAAGAGTCAAAACACATCAGCTTGCATGTGCTGAATAAAGACTTCCCAGAATTCGACAGCTGCATTCTGCAGATTTCTGACCTAAATACATATGGTCAAATCACACATCTGCAAGAAGGTAAGAGGCAGAGCCTTCTGAGAAAGGGATGTGAGACAACCAGGCATGAGAAACAAAAGTCATTCGGTAACAAGATGGGAGTTAACAACAGAAATTTTACCTGTTAAGAAACAGCTTCCTTAGGAGTAAGAAAGCCCTGAATGTAATGGTCTTCTGTTTAATACATATCTGTAATCTAGAACACTTTATCCTATGATCTCCTCTACTGTATTTCCATGTGGAGCGTGACAGCAGCTCTGTTTTCAGTATAAATTACAAACAGGAACTGTATGGGTTTTAATTTCAGTCTGAAAAATAATTATAAATGGTAATTAATAACAGCCTGCCTTTCAAATGTGCATGCTCTGTATTCACTTGTTTGGTTTTTTTTCTTGGAATGCTTAGCATTCGCTTAAAGTAGATTTTAATGTATTTATTATAAGTAGTAGTGAATAGTTTTCTGAGGCTTTTAATCATTAACTGATAAGCAATTAATGTTAATTTTATTGCTTTCTAGGGTTATGATAATTCAGAGAGCAGCGTTCGTAAGGCATGTGTTTTCTGCCTTGTAGCCATTCATGCAGTAATTGGTGATGAACTAAAACCACATCTCAGTCAACTCACTGGCAGTAAAGTAAGTAAAAAATGATATTTAAGGAGTTTTGGTTCATAATGACATGTATACGTTTGTGTTTTGGTTGCACTTACCAGGAAGTTGATACATAAAAGTATATATCTGAATGGAGATAACCAGGGATACTGAAACACTCGGAGGGTCAATGTAACTTTGATATCAAAGGTTCAAAACTGAAAATCCATAGGTCTGCAGATACTTAGGCACATGCACAAAACTTCAGCAAACTGAAAAATAGTAAGTTGTGTTTCTTATTGCTTTAGAGTAGATTTAATTCTGTATGGTCAGTGGCTGAAAAAACATCAGAAATATGTTTACTTGAGTACACTGTCAGACTTTTTATTCTGAAACACTGGTAGTAGCTATCTTCAGCATGGCATTTTCTACCTGCATACCTTGACTTGTATTTCTGTGTTATTATGTAACACAGTTTATCTGTTCTTACTCCTTTGTTGTTGTTTTTTTTTGTTTGTTTGTTTGTTTTTTGTTTTTGCTTTAATCTGTCCTTTCAGAACTTCTGCTTTGGTGGTGAAGAAGAACCTTGTGTTCCTTTTTTGGTTAGGAAGCCTCTTATGTACTGTTTTTTTACATTCAAACGGATGTATGTTATGAGTTTGTCCATGAAGCTAAAACAAGACAATTGATATTGTATATATTTGAATAAAACAGTTGCATCTTAAAAATAGTCTGGCAGTGATTGCATTGATATGACTGTAGACAGTGTTGGAAGCTTTAGTAGGTGCTGGAATCAATACCTGTAAGTAGAGGTATTCACATTCACTTAAGAGAAAGAAACAGACAAAATAAATCAAAAAAAACCCCAACCTGTCTTAATCAGAGCAGCACAGTAATGTGGGGAAAAGTCTCTGTCTTAGTGTAGCTACCGTAGGTTGCTTTCTTCCTCACATCCTTAGTTTTGCTGTGTTAGATATTAGCAAGCATGTTACCTTTCAATTAATGGTGTAAAATACAGTTTTGCTTTTAAGAGAAGAATTCTTTCATGTCTATTTTGATATATCATTTCTGTAGTGTGTACAGTTTGTAAATACTAAACAAAATTAATTTCTGCCTTTGCAGATGAAGTTATTGAACCTTTACATCAAGCGTGCACAAACAGGCTCTGGACCAGGGGATACCACAGCAGATATGTCTGGACAAAGCTAATGAAGCTGACAAGAATTAACCAGCTCTCCTAAAGCAAGGGCAAAGCCCTCATCAAGTGAAAGGAAAATTCTTACACACAACTTTTGGAACCCTTGTTACTTTTTCTTTTTTTTTTCTTCTTTTTTTTTTCCTTAACCAATGGCTGTCTTCAGCCTGCATGTGACTGTTACAATAGAATTATTCCAAATCTAAGGAAAAGCAGTATTAACATCAGTTGATCAAAGCAAAATAAAATTTAAAAATAATCTAATTCATCAGTTATCCTGTTGCAATCCTCTGTGTCTTCCCATTAACTTTTGCCAGTGTTATTGTATTAAAAAAAGGGTTTTTTTAATGCTAATTATACAGGTATGCTTTAAGCTTCAGAAGTTAAAATATAAAATTCTGTTGCTTTTTTTCAGCTGCAGATAACATTGTTTTTATTGCTATTTTGTTTGAGTATTGTGTCCTTCGCTAGAAACAAGAAGTGATGTGAAACTAGGCTGAACTAGTCTGAACTGCAGTGAGACTCGGTCACTGTTGGTGGTTCATCATCTTATTTACAGCTTGTTTGGGATATTCTGGAGATTGAGAAGTATGCCTATAAAAAAAAGCTGGATCGATCCAGTTCTGTACAAGTGATATTGTTCATTGGTTGTATGTTTGTTGCATAAATAAGAATTTAATGTGCACAGCAGAGGGCTGGTACAACCAGTGCCTCTTAGTGTGGGAGACAGCCCTCTCAGGGTAGCACTGCCGACCTGGTGACAGAGTGGCAGTCTGCTTTTAGCAGCAGACTTAATGGTCACTTGATGGACGTGAACCATCCTTGCCACCTTTCGTTCTTCAAGCAGGATGCTTCAGAATGGAGTGCTCTGCCCAAGCATGCTCAGTATGTATTTATCACTAGAATGTTTCCTCTCAACCTAATTGCTGGAACCAGTAGTCTTGTATTGTAACTCACATGGGATTTTATGACAACAGTGCAGAAAACTATTTATTCGTTATCTTCCTAAAAGCACCAAGATTTTCTGCATTGAATTTTAATGGTGGGAGGGGGGGGAGGGAATAGTCACAAATGCTATCAATCTTGCCACCTTCTAATTTAAAAAATTATATATTTTGGATGAGTTGGGAAAGCTGCACCAAACTGTTTGCATGGTTTTCTTGAATAGCATCCTCAAGACCCATCTGGATTAAGGTGTGGAAATGTTTCCAGGGTTTGTTTTTCCATTTTTGAAAAAGAGTTAGTTTATTGTGAATAATGGTTCTTTGTATTTATGAACTTGACGATGGAAAGAGAAAAAATATCAACTAAATGTGTCCCTAAACGTTCTCATCTTTTTTTATTTTTTTTTCTCTTTTTTTCTTTTTCTTTTTTTTTTTTCTTTTTTTTTTTTTTCCTTTTTGTCTTTGATATAAGCAACAAGTTAGTTAACTGAGAACTGGGATAAGCAGCACCCTTCCCAGAAATGATGGAAACTCTTTTTCCCTAGCTTTTCTTTCCCTTTGATTGTGGTGTTGTCTAGTTGTAGGAATATATCCTGATAAGAGAGAAAACTGTAGTGCCAAGGATGATGATCAATGCTAGGCTAAAATTCTCTCTACCTCTTCAGGGTGACTAATTTTTGGCTGAGCTGCTGCATATAGCACCTGGTGGAAGAACTATCTACAGCAAAAGTCTTTGTTTTTCCCAAATTATCACTTACTGCATATTGAAAACCGTTCTTCAACACACAGCCAAATATTGCAAGAACTGCTTATACACTTTGCTTGCTAAGTACCCTGAAAACCAAAACTGAATGAAAAAATGTCAGATGCTTGTAGTTACATGAAAGGTTGTTTTCACTTTAGCTTGAAGTGAACCTGATAGAAAAGCTGAGATGTTGTTGTTAAAGAAGCAATGCCGTTACAGAGATTTATTTGGAGGAAAAGTTGTAGAAATATATGTAAAGACTTTAAATCGAGGCTGTCATAACTTGTCACTAGCCCTTCTTAACAGCTACATCAGGAAAATAGTATCTCCTCTTTCTTTCCTTTGTTACGTGTAACATTCTTGTTGTTTTCTACCGTTTAATTACATTGTGTATTTATAGTTCTATGCTTACCATTGTGCATATACTGGCAATAAAATGTACATAACATTACTTGAAAAAAATTAGCAATGTATACATTCTGTTTTTCTGAGTTATTTGATCACATGTTATAAGAGAGATATAAAGTCATTGAAGCAACGTTGGTTAAAAAAAATAACCTTGATGTTTTTGTGTCTAAATGATGTTTCTTTAGATTCTCTGCTATAAATCCGACAGCATTTGAGAACATGGTGTGAATATAGGTATGGTAGACAAAAGTAGTTTGGGAAATTGAATAGGATCTTTATGAATACCAAATTTCCTTCATCTCAGCAGGCTTCTTGTTTGCTGCTTCTTTTCTTTGTACATTATGCATTGCTAGCATTTTATTTTTTTAATATTTCAGAAATATTTTTCAGTTTAATATCTTCTAGCTTAACATTTTGATTATGTGAAATATCATTTTAAAAAAATGGCACAAATTCTAAGTTTAATAGTCCCATATATTATTCCTGCTTTTTCTACAGGTAATATTTATTTTCAAATGATCATTTCAAGATGACTTTCCTCAGTCATCTTTTTGAAGATGTTATTTCATACTGAAAAAATAAGTTTATTGAAACATACCATATATATTCTGGATGGACGTAATTTTTTATCTGTAAACAAAAGTTGGTGAGAAAGAAATGTTTTTATCCCCTATGACTGAAAAGTTTTACTCCAGGGGGAGGAGAGGAGATATTTACACAAAGTTTGTCCCTTGGTTATGCTTCAAAGACTCCTGTAATTGTTCTAAGTGTGACATCCCATGTACTAAAAATCTAAATGCTATATGTTTAAATGAATATTTTAATTATGATCTGACTAGTTGTGTTCCCAACAAAGATGGGGCTCCTGTAAGTGCTTGGAGTTTGTATTAAATGAAGCCATCAGAATGTAAGAAATTGCAACAAAATGTTCTCTGCTGCAGCCAGTTACCAGATTTGCTGCATTGCTTTTTGCCTTCATTTCCTATGTTACGAATAGACAGTAGCTCAATTAAAATTGAGCTGTGATTAGTCATGCCTTACGTTTGTACTGCAGGTGGTTTATCTTAGAAACAAAAAACCCACAACCATAAAGTCCTGTGAAAAATCAGGACAATTACCTTTGTTCTTTGTCAGAAAGGCTTTCTTAATATCCTGTAAAGATAGGACATTGCAGTGGTTTGAATACTGAAACGTGATTCTTAAAGGTTGATTTGGGGCTTAAAAAGAAGGAGGAAAGAAAACTACATGCAGAATCAGGATAGAAATGCATGTCTTGGATGTCTTGGACTTGGATGTCTTTTGCTTTAAATGATTTTGGGTAACATGTTCAGCTAAAATTGGGATAGTAAATGTAAATTGAAAGGAGAGTTGATCATGTAAATTTTCCTGAGTTTGGTTGCTTGTTTGTTTTTAAAGATAAAGACTGGAACAGATTGAGTTGTCTTTATTATTTGTGGTTGGAATCCCAGAGTGAAAAGAACAAATGCTGATATCCTGAAACAGACCTGCGTGTTATTAACAGCTTCTAAGAATGTTTAAATGTTTGAGTAAATTCACAAACACGTCCGTGGAGAATGCCTGTAGAAACTGAAGGCCTGAGCTGCTCACAGTTTAATTTCCAGCAGAAGACTTCAGATTGTGAATATAACATTGTCCCTTTGAAAATACTCATAAAAGAGAAAACAGAGGAATTCATGTGAGTTATGCTACAGTTAATCCCTACGACAGGCTAGTGAGAATGGTTTGGTTGGTTGTGGAGTACGCTGACAGAAACACAAAATACAGTAAAAATAAGATAAGGATAGATGGGCAGTTTGGGAGCAGAGGGATTATCTGGGGAAATTAAATTCGTGCTTCCTCCCAACTGAAATAATTAACTGATTAGTTTTGCAGTTGTAGTCTACTTTAATGTAAGATAAAAGTTATTTGTGCTATGTCCTCTAAAGGAAAACTTCTGTTTTCCTTTCTAAGTTTCATAGTTAAGTCTTCCATGTCTTCAGAAGCACATACTGTAAGCATTTGCCTCATACATCACGAATGTTCTGCTAAATGGATTTTGCTTCTGTTAGAACATGTTTGACTCCTGGTAATTTGGGAAGTTTGGGAAATCATGATAGTTGCCAAGTGGGAAAAAAAAAAAAACAAATGCAATTTCCTTTTTTTCTATGTATCTTGTTTTTGCATGTATATTTAAGTACATTTTGTGACTTTGGGGTTCTCAAGCTGGGCAGTTTGGGTTACTCCAACTAAAGAAGTTCTTTCATCTGCTGTCAGGATTTTCGGGTAATAAACGCGTTTACTTGGAAGTTCCCTAATAAGTTGTTTCTGCTCAGACAGTCACAGCTACGTTCATAAATTACTGCTGAACGGTAACACTTGGCAACTTGGAAATGATTCTTGGCAAGCAGTTTTGAGTACGGTGTGATTTCTGTCAAAAAAACCTGTTCTTCAGTGTATCTTAGGTAGATACAAATGATCCTAACGAAGCATATTTTCAAGAAGTAAGATCAGAAATGAGGCTGATACAGAAACATGGGAAATATCTCTTCAGTGGAAAAGCCAGCATATCTGCATATGATATCCAGACTTGTTACCACTGGCAGAAGACAGAAAGGTAACTGAAGTTTATATTAGGCATCCAAGTTCCATAAGCCCTTCATTTTGGTGTTCCTCCTATCCTAGATCTTGGCTGTTGACTAACAGTGGAAATCTTTGTACCTCCATAAACTCATACTGAAATCAGTAGCTCAAGCAAGAGTCAAAGGTTGGCCCTTTGTAGTCAAGGAAGGTTTATACCAACAAAAAGATATATTTGCATTAGGCAGTGGACATTCTCAGAACTCAGTCTGGTTAGATGTTCCCTCACCACCTGTTCAGCTTTGGCTATGGCAGAGCCCCATATGAGAACACCCCATATGTGCTCCCATCTTACTTCCAGACAAATCAGACTGGGGAACAACCTGAGAGTGGTCCTCCAGCAGCACCCTGGAATCAGTGACTTCTGCCACAGATGTTGGCAAAAGTGAATGTTCCATGCCTTGTGGGTTTGCTCATAAGAAAACAAACCACTACCATTTTCTATGACAGTCTGCTTTACCAGAGCATATGCAGTTCATGTTACAATACCAGGCAAGACATGGAGACGCTGAGACACTGATTTTAGCTTGGTTAAAACAGCTGAAATGTGTGTTGGTGAGGGAACTGGATGTGTCTGTTTCAGTTGCAGATTAGCATGCTTTAAATTGCTGACAGCACAGTGCTTGAAAATGTTTGATCTAGGAAGGTACTAGAGATGCCTTAGAGCCTCAGGTAAGAGGGATGCTGTCCATTAGGAAAGAGAAGGAACTGCACTCTTTAGTGCATTGTGTCAGATCATGCCGGAAGCTGGCAGTGCCACAGCAATCTGCAAGTCCAAATACTGATTTTTAGACTACCAGATAGGTGCAGAACAAGTGCAGGACAGCAGAATAGCAAGACACTTGAAGTTGTTCACCTGGATAGATTTCTGAAACTCCTACAAAACAAAAGATACACTCCATTCTATTTCATAGCTATAAAAACCTTATGAGTTAAGTTTTGATTCAGGCAGGATGTGATGGGTTTAACCAGAAATTTCTCTGGGCAATGTCACTGTCCAAATCTCTTTATGCCTACAAATGACCTCTGTACAACAGTTTCCTTTGCAGGCCTTAAAGTCCTAAGATCAAAAAAAGAAACCAAATGTATTACCGATAATACATTATTGCTAATAATGTAATACCAATAAGATACGAAGTCAGTAAGCCTGTTTTTTTTTAGTTTGTGCCTCAGGACTGTAACAACACTCTTAGATTCATAAGTGGGTTGTATTAGGAATACAGCTATGGAGGAAGAAGTTACAGGAGCATCATCCTGTAATTGAGGCTTTTAGAATTTTTGTTGAGGGGATGCAGAACCCATGAGGGAAGGAGCACATCCTGCACTGATCAGAAAAGCAGCAGCTGGACTGGTAAATGCAGCAGTCTTTGCCACAGTTGTTTCAACATCTGCGAGCCCAGATTAGGATGTCTAAAACTACCCGAAGATCCAGAATAAAGATGGCAAGTGAACCTGGAAAATATGCAGGCATCGCTGTTCATCCTTCCCTGCATGACAGCAGCACAGTGCGTTGCTGTTTTCAGACTGTTTGCAGTTCTTTGTGTACTTCTGCCAGCTTCAGGTGACCAGACACAGCAATACCAGTAGGATGTGCCAGGTCTGACCAACGCATCCGAAGATTTGTGATTAGAACCCAACTTTGCACGGGGATGGAGCACATGCAGAAACTTTTCTTGCTAGCAGTTCTTACTTGTCAGTGTTGAAGTTCATTACAGAAGTGGCAAAGAATGCAATCCCTCTAATGATATATATGAGAGAGACAGAGAAGTTGTTCCTTAAAAAGTGCATGCAAAGAAAATCTGACTTGGCACCCTTCGCGTGTACGTATGATGGATTCACAGCCAGTCCAAGCAGGGAGCATCATTCAAATGTGAATACCTGGTTGCTAATCAGTGATGTAGGTGAATTGTTGATGGTAGCTTTTCACAGGCGTTCCCACCCCAAAGTTACCCTGCATTTGGCAGCAACTGTTGACATAACGAAAAGTCCAAAAACCAAACAAGGCACATCAAAGTAACACCTCTATACTCTCCTGAGGCTTAAATATATAGGGGTTGTTTCTGCATTGATGCAAATCTGTCTTTTGCTTTTAAACTGAACTAGCATTTCAAGCATGTCTAAGCATCATCACTTGACAGCAAAAACCTTAAAGATCCCTCACATATGAGTAGCCTAGGTGAGTTTACCATGTACTTGACTGATCTTTTTCCCATTTGGTGGTGTCTGAAGAATACTTTTACTTTCCAAAAACAAATAGCATTCTGTGTGCATAACCAGATTTAATATTTACCAATATTTGCTGAAGTTCTCAGAAGGGCAATCACGAAGACCAATTGAGAGACTGACTGATCTTTACAAAAGCTTAAGTAGGTAAAGTATATCATGGCTTAACAGACCTCACGTTGGATACTATTCATGGAAAAAATATATATAATTAAAGTACTTAAAGTTTTCAGCCACAGCATGCAGAGGTACTTAGATTCAGTGCAGATCCACCTGTTAGCAAAACATGAGCCTCCCCACCTTAAATTTCAGGTTGGACTTTGCATGCTGTACACAAGCCTTAAAGCAAGAGATGTTTTAAATAAATAGTGTCTTGTTATTTGTGTATACAGTGCTCCTTTGCCGAGACCTGTTTAGTACTTACTAAGCAGATTATAAGTCAAGAAACAAAAATAGCTCCTTAACAATAACAGTACGAGGATAAAAACTCACCTTATTTGTCCCCAAACTTGCACAACTGGGTAACTACATACCTTTCTGTCTAGAGGTTAGCCAAGGGCAGCAGGTGTGGATATGGGGAATGTACAGTACTTCACAAAGCAAAATACCAGAATTAAGTACAATGTGTGAAGCTTATCCTTGTGTTAAAAATGCTTGCAAGGAAAATCAGTTGAAATACAAGACCATGAAGAGAAGAAAGTGAAGAAATACTGAGTGTGGACTTTTCTCCTTCTTTTATGTTAGTGTTTCAGTAATAACACATCCTATGTGTTAGGTCTAGTACTTTACTTACAAGGAATTCAAAGATTTTATGAGTGAAGAATCAGGCTTCTTGCCAACCCCTGGTGGAGGGAAAAAGTGACAAACTTTCTTCTGCAAAAAAGGGAGGCAGTCCAATGATACAAACCCTCATGTACTGCGTCCAGGCCCGGGACACGCAGCACGGGAAGGACGTGGAGCTCTTGGAGTGGGTCCAGGAAAGGGCCACTAAGATGATCAGAGGGCTGGAGCAGCTCTCCTATGAGGAAAGGTTGAGGGAACTGGGATTGTTTAGCTTGGGGAAGAGAAGGCTCCAGGGAGACCTCATTGTGGCCTTCCAATACTTGAAGGGAGTGTATAAACAGGAGAGAGAACTGTTTGCGAGGATGGATAGTGATAGGACAAGGGGGAAATGGGCTTAAACTGAGACAGGGGAGGTTTAGGTTGGATATTAGGAGGAAGTTTTTCACCCAGAGGGTGATGAGGCACTGGAACAGGTTGCCCAAGGAGGCTGTGGATGCCCCATCCCTGGAGGCATTCAAGGCCAGGCTGGATGTGGCTCTGGGCAGCCTGGTCTGCTGGCTGGCGACCTGCACATAGCAGGGGGGTTGGAACTCGATGATCATTGTGGTCCTTTTCAACCCAGGCCATTCTAGGATTTGGAAGCCAAGTATTCTGAACTCAAGGCCTTGTGTAGTATGCGTGACATCATGCTTTTGCTTTAGCAAGCATTTACTTATTTTAGTTTTCAAGGTACAGATACCTGCAACTAATTTTATGTAGACACACTCAAAAAGATATCTAAAAGACATGAGGAGATAGATACAGTTTCAGGAAGTTGAGCTTATGTGCAATGGCAAATGCCTGCCTCCACCCAAGCCAGCTTGTCTGAGAAAATGTTTGTGGGGAACAAAGGAATGAGGAAGTGAAGTCCTTTATGCTTCCCAAGCTGCAGAGTGGTGATGGCTTCTTCAAAGCAGGAGAAACTTCACACGGTACCTAAACTGTGATGTGCCCAGTTGTACAACTGAACCATAAAACTTCTAAAATATTAGAACAGGCATTCCTACTTAAACAAATCGATGTGGCTGTCATCTTACCAAATTAACAATGCATTTTTGCATGGGAGTCCACAAGATTCTGTTTTGCTTTGCTTCTACGCCATCAGGAGCAGTGGTCACAGTGAGGATGGCTCATAGCAGTAGCTGTTGTGACCACACACAAGTCTGAAACATGCACACTGTGAGGAGTACCCATAAAACGGGCCTTGAACTTTCACCTTTTGTCAGAAGCAGAGACTTGCAAACTCAGCTGAACACAATAGATATGATCACAGTAGCCTTCATCACTTCATCCTTTACTAATAAATACCTCATTGCCTTGAGACAGCAGCTGCTTTGGATGTAAGCAGTGACTTCATTATTTTTAGCCTGCATAAGCATGACTCCTGAAAACTGAAATGAAGCGGAGACTGATGGGGCGCATTTGCTGTGATGCTCTACCACACCAAAAGAAGAACAATGTTTGAAGTTTTCTGACTGCTGCTTATTACCATCTCTCTAATAATAATTCCATTTTGTCTTCCAGAGCCCTGCTCTTTGATATTCTGATTTTCATAGCCCAGGTTTTGTCACAATATTGCAGTAACATTTTAAAGTATTTTTTTAACAGAAGGAAAGGGCATGGAGGTT